CATAAAAGGAGAAGTTGTAACATTTGGGAAGGGCAGGTTATGTAACTTTTTGCTGGTTTAATTTTTTTTTTTTTTTTTTCTTTTGATTATTACAATTTTTGGAAACTAATCCACCACCTTTTAAATGCAATGATTGGATATATTTTAGCTTTCATGGATATGGCTATACAATTTCTAAAAAAAAACAATGATATTATTCAGTAAAAACAGAAAATTCTGGCAAAATTTCTGTAGTGATTACTTGTGAAGTGACACCAGTGAAACCTACAAGGGGTCATCACATAATGGATAATTTATTTTTCTACCATAATCATTCTAAGCGCTGTTCCTTCATTTTCTACACTGCTGGTCTGAACAGGAAACAAATCAGCATTTCCTTCTTCTTATGGCTAAAAACAGACAAAATGTCATTGCAGTTTCAGATCCGCAGCTGCAGGAAAGGACAAAGGGAGTGAACAGTGATTATTTGACGAGTGAATCAGTGAACCTTTCCTTCATGGGTGGTTCGACCAACATGTACACAAACTTGAAACAGAAGAAGTTTGACAGCATGTATTTACTTGGACGCAAATGTAACAAATTCTGGCACAGGGACAAAAAACAAAACAACTAAAGCCTGACATGTCTAATGAGATAACCGCTGACACACATTATCTCCGTCCAGCCATTGCATTGAGCGCCAGGGACTGCAACACTGAACTCATTGTACCAAGGACACTGTAAATAAGCCATAAAAAACAAAACACAATCACTGCCTAACCTAAACTTTAGCATGATGCATGCAGCTGCAGCATCCCTCTCTTATAATGCTTATAATGCTAAAAACACAAGGTTAAGGTTGAGAAGCACCAGAGTTGGACTTTATCACAGGTTTTACCTCCTGGTGAAGACTGCTGCCCTGTGGGTAGACTCAGATAACACGACCTGACTTATTAAACCTGCTAAATAACTTATTTAATGCGCACATGAAGGGACTGGGACACCAGAGAGGAGTTTAAGCAGCAACAGGCTGCCATGTTTTGACAACAGAGGAAGGCTAGTGGCTACTTCCTCTGATATTGGCTGATGATTAAAACGATATCTTTTACAGACTGGAGCTCACTTCACACTTCAGAAAATAATGTCGAACAGAGAAACACCGAACGAAGCGGGTTCATCTTTAATTATAGCCATTTCCAGGTTAAAAATTAATAACAACGGCTGAAGAAAACTCGCAAATATAACATTACATAACTGAACTTGTAGCGGAGCTTCAATATGTGACAGAGAAGCCGCAACAGAGCCACACATGGGTATCACCTCTTTGACGAGGACGGGCTGGCCTGCAGCTAAACGAAAGGAGTTAAAAAAAAATCTTATTTTTAATACAGACAACCGAAGCCTAGAGGCGCCATGAACACGGCGAGCTGCCAGTTTGACAAAGAAGCCCCGCGAACACTGAACTAGCCGTTAGCCGGCAGGCTAGCAGGCTAGCTACGCCCTGACGAAGAGATTAGACAGAAAGTTTTCACGGCGGGGCTAAAACTTCCTAAAACACCCGCGCGGGTCGAGGAGACACCGACTTTCTGCCCGTCCGGTCCCGCTAACACCGTCGAGTGGTTTGTAAGCGGCGCAGGCGGAAGCCAGAGGCGTTTGTTGTCGGTATATTTGAGTTGTAAGACAGTGTTACCTGAGTGAGAGACGGAGTGGCAGCCATAGTGTTTCTGTTTCCACCGCTGCGCCGCTGCCGCACAGACAGAGGCCGCGGAAAAACCTGGAGCCGGACCCGAACCGGGGGAGTCGACCCGAACTTATCAGCGTTACACTGCAGCAGTCAGAGCGAGACAAACTATCACTACTCTACTTATGGAAGTCTAAATATATAAAAGAATATAAATATTGAAGCATCTCCTAAATATATAATTACAAACTATTTAAATATAAACCCTTCTGAGGCCCTGCATCCTAAAGATGAAGACATTTTTTCTGTTTTTCAGTGGTAATGAATATTGTGTTGTTTCTAATTTTGTAAATAAATTAATTAAAAAAAAGAGAGGGGAAAAATACAACAATACTTAGGGGTGGCCATTGCCCTCCTTTCACCACCTCCCTGCTGCCCAAGTTTATTGTCATTCGTATGTGGTACATGAGGTGGAACGAAATTGTGTACTCAAGGTCCCATTTACACCCCAAAATAGCAAAAATATAAAGTAAAAAAAAAAAAGAAACAGTATACAAAGATCTATACGCTAAATAGGGATGGACGATATTATTGGCGTATCGTATCGGCGATATTAGCGATAAAGATAAATATCGGACATCGGCCATTCCATTAAAATAACTTACCAATATAAAAGGCTTATGTTAATTTTTAATTTAAGAAACTGTCAAGTATATCTATTAATGCACTACTACTTATGCGCTTTTCACTTGTCGCTTGTGAACAGGTTGAGTTTAGATTTGTGAAAATGTACAAACTTGCACTGTGCGAGTGTCGTCATTGTGTTAGAGTAAATGTCATGAATAAATTTGACATTAAACATAATCCAGGTTCACTTTCAGCCCCTTTTTTAGCCGCTGCATCTGGAAGCAGGCCAAACTGATAAAGATCATGCAGAATAATGTAGTATTTTGATTCCACAGCAAAGAAAGTTATGTAGTAGGTCTTGGAAAAGAACATTGGTATTGGTATTGGTTATCGGCCAAATAAATTTTAATATATCAGCATATCAGATATCGGCCAAAAATCCAATATTGTGCATCCCTAATGCTAAACAATAATAGTAAAGTAGTCGCTACTTTACAGTTCGACTTTCGCAGACTTGCTCTTTCGTGGTTTTCAAACATTGTCAACTTTAATATTACTCACGTGATTGGGACGTCATGGGATGAAAAGTTAATTAAAAGAAAAACTTTGAACAGGCACCGTTTTTTTTTTTTTTTTTTGTAGTTTTTTCCAATAAGCCTTGTCACTGCCGGATCTGTTATGATCTGCATGATCCGTAGTGTCGCTCATTTGCGCATGCGCTAAAATGAATACTTGCGGGTTGCACGGATCGCCGTTCAATATGCTATACTGGAAATAATGACTTGATATTGATTAAAATATATTTATGAAACATACCATATTTATTAAAATTAATTAAAATATATCTTCTATAAATTGATTAATTTTCCTAGACAATATTATAATTCCATTTATGAATAAGAAAACTGTCTTAATTTACTTAGAAAAGAATGTGCTCTATCTTCGCTGATCTTCATGTTGTTAATTTACGTCACTCGTATTTTTGTTAAAATCATGGACATTTTTACGTCATTGGTTAAAATGATATGCAGCTTCACCACTGAGCGGCGCTGTTTCACCATGGAAATAATTCATTCTGTATCCTGCAGGGTTTACTCATTCAGCCCAGGATGGGGGTCAGGTCTAATGTGTCATAAAGCTGTTAAGTTTTATTTCTAAAACTTGGGGAATTGTAAAATTTTAAAATGTAAACAGTCTCACCAAGTTCAAATGAATTTATTAGTAGGAAACAATAAAATAAAGACAAATACAATGGTGAAATTCTGAGGCTTTCTTGTGTGTTCTTTATATCAGCATGTTTCATAAAAGGTGGGGCAGCACAAACAACGGCCTAACATATTTTATTTTGGTAATTCTTTAAAAAAAAATCCACAACTTATTAAATCAGAGATATTAGGACTTCAAGCCCGCCGAAAACTGAGTGAGCAAACAGAACTTGGAGTTTCTGACAAAGTTTTTGAGTGATTTAGGAAATATGTATGTATGCCGAGTGAGCATCACTGAAAACAAATGACGCTTGCATTTATACCATCTAACTTAGGAAAAACAAAAAAAAAACACGTGCAGAGAAAAAAAAATGTATTCATAATTTATATTTGTCTGTCAGCCGGTTCAAAATATAAAAACTCCTGCACAAGGAGATATCAGTTTGACTTGTTCCAGTTGCTTTTATTGAATTTCTTCTACACACAGCAACATGAAAGATGCCCCAGTTCAGTTCCCAGCATTAGTACAAAACGTGTCTTACAAAAGAAGCATTAGAGCACATGGAGCGGAGCGTTGATGTACAGTAGTGCAGAAACAATTCATGGACAACGACAAAACCTTAAGTGAATGCACCAAATGTAAAGAATTACTCTGAGTGCCATAAATCTACTCTGAGTTTAACTTCAACAAACAAGTTTGTGCACGGAAGTGAAAAGCGTTAATTTCAGTTCAACCCTACGGAAGTGACTTCATTGATTGAATGCTGTAAAATATAGTGTTTAGTCCGAATTTGTTCTTTGTTTAAATAGGAGCTGGAAAGATAATCACCTGAACGAGGACAACCAGTTGTATTTATTCCTTCATGAACATGAATTAGTGTCGAACATTTACATAAACAGATGCAAATTAAAACAAACTAAACGCATGATGTAAACAAAACATTTTCATGGCACCATCCACACACAAACTATATTCTTCTGCCACGTTTTCATATAAATCTAGATTTCAGTAAAACACAACACTGCGGTTCAGAAACCACCGACCTGGACGTTCCTTTCATTTCCTATTGTTTAAATTTTAACAGTAATAATTATATTAATTGTAGTGGCTCATTGAAACAGAAAACAAAACAGCACTGCCCTTATTAGACTTGTTTTTTTGTTTTGTAAACAAACAAATGAAGAAGCCCCTCCCACCCAGCTCCACCCCAGGGTGAAGGTCAGCATGGTCCATGACTTCAGCCTCCATCCAAAGGCCCACTGACACAGACAGTCTGAGCAGTTCCTGAGTTTATAACTCATCCTTGAATTTAGAGTCTGTGCCTTCATCTTCCTCCCCTTCTTCGGGCTCTTCTCCTTCTTCCTCCTCCTCCTCCTCCTCCTCTTCTTCCTCCTCTTCCTCCTCATCCTTCTCCTCTTCCTCCTCCTCTTCCTCCTTGGTCTCTTCTTGCCTCTTCTTGTCTTCCTCCTCCCGTGTTTTCCGCTCCTCTTCCTCTTGGCTTTCTTTCATCTTCCTCTCAGCATCCTTAAGAAAAGCATTAAAAATATAAAATTCATTGGAAACAAATAAAGCTTAAAGCAGAACAGGGATGTCTGAGTGAGACAAATGCCTAAAGTCATCTGAAACAGGTTACCTTAGTTTTGCCCCAAGTATCGCCGCCGACTTCTTCTGCCAGTTTTGGATCATTGGTGATCAGGAAGTTGTCAAAGATCGTGCCAGACTTGACCTTGGCACAAACACAGGAGAGCATAAATACATGTCAACCATCTAAACTCTTACCAACACTCATTCGCAATTTTGAAACGAAGAATTAAATCCCAATATACTTGGATAAAAATGTTATTTATGTATTCTTGACATGGCTGTATGTTACCTGCCACAAGTCGAGTCCGATCACGCCGATGCTGTTGTATTTGTAGATCTCGGGGTCGGCGGTGTACTCGGGGTTATCAATCTCAGGGTGGACCCACTTTCCTTTGTAAGCAGGGTTATCGATCTCACTGGGCTTCCACTCCCCCTGCAGACAGAAGAGAGGCACAGGGATACATCTGAATTAAATATATACAACGTTAGGAGAAAGACAGCAACGTATTTTCCGCTGTACACGTCGCACCGCCCGATAAGTCGCATCAGTCCAAATAAGTCTAATAAAGTGGGAAAAAAACATAATCAAGTCGCTTCGCCGTATAAGTCGCATCTATTATGCGTCACCGCTGACCACCCGGAAACGTGGGCCGGTGTTGTGACAAAAATCGATCGGCTGCCAAATGGCGCCCGCGGAAGCGTGCATGGGAGGACTTTAACAACAATTTAACAAGATTAACACTTAAAAATAATTATTTGTTTGCTCGACATTATAGTAAAGGTGTGTCTCAGTTCCCCTCCCTGGGCTGCCACCTTACCGTGGTGGAGGGGTTTGAGTGTCCCAATGATCCTAGGAGCTATGCTGTCAGGGGCTTTATGCCCCTAGTAGGGTCACCCATGGCAGACAGGTCCTAGGTGAGGGACCAGACAAAGTGCAGCCCAAAGACCCCGATGATGACACAAATAAATGGACCTAGTGTTCCCTTGCCCGGACGTGGGTCACCGGGGCCCCACTCTGGAGCCAGGCCTGGAGGTGGGGCACGCGGGCGAGCGCCTGGTGGCCGGGCTTTCACCCATGGAGCTCGGCCGGGCACAGCCCGAAGAGGAGACGTGGGTCCCCCTTCCCATGGGCTCACCACCTGTGGGAGGGGCCAAAGGGGTCGGGTGCAATGTGGGATGGGTGGTGGCCGAGGGCGGGGACCCTGGCGGTCTGATCCTCGGCTACAGAAGCTAGCTATTGGGACGTGGAATGTCACCTCACTGGTGGGGAAGGAGCCTGAGCTGGTGTGTGAGGCTGAGAGGTTCTGGCTAGAAATAGTCGGACTCACCTACGCATGGCTCTGGCTCTGGAACCAGTTTCCTTGAGAGGGGCTGGACACTCTTCCACTCTGGAGTTGCCCCTGGTGAGAGGCGCCGAGCAGGCGTGGGCATACTTATTGCCCCCCAACTTGGTGCCTGTGTATTGGGGTTCACCCCGGTGAATGAGAGGGTAGCCTCCCTCCGCTTACGTGTGGGGGGACGGGTTCTGACTGTCGTTTGTGCTTATGCACCAAACGGCAGTTCAGATTATCCACCCTTTCTGGAGTCCTTGGAGGGGGTACTGGAAAGTGCACCTTCTGGGGACTCCCTTGTTCTGCTGGGGGACTTCAATGCTCATGTGGGAAATGACAGTGAGACCTGGAGGGGTGTGGTTGGGAGGAACAGCCCCCCTGATCTGAACCAGAGTGGTGTTCTGTTGTTGGACTTCTGTGCTCATCATGGATTGTCAATAACGAACACCTTGTTCAAGCATAAGGGTGTCCATATGTGCTCTTGGCACCAGGACACCCTAGGCTGCAGTTTGATGATCAACTTTGTCATTGTCTCATCTGATCTGCGGCCACATGTCTTGGACACTCGGGTGAAGAGAGGGGCGGAGCTGTCAACTGATCACTACCTGGTGGTGAGTTGGCTCCGATGGTGGGGGAGGATGCCGGTCAGACCTGGCAGACCCAAACGTATCGTGAGGGTTTGCTGGGAACGTCTGGCAGAGTCTCCTGTGAGACGGAGTTTCAATAATTTAATAAATGCACTTTAATGTCAAATTAGCTGCATTTTGCTGGGGCGACGCAGCAAAATGAAGCTGATTTGACGGTTGCTCCAGGCATGATCCCGGAGCTGGACATAGGTGGCAGTATATGGCAAGCAGATTGTGTCATTAATAGCCACGTTTATCTACATGACACAACGGCATGCCATACTACTGGAGTGCCATCTAGTGGCTAAAAATGGTAGTGTTTAATATTTTTAATGTCAGAATGACTGAAAACGATCATTTCTCAGCCAAAATTGGTTTATAAATATGAGAAAAAAAAACAAATAAGTTGCTTCGGTGTATAAGTTGCAGGGCATGCAAATTATGAAAAAACAAACGGACTTGTAGATATATAAAAATATAGTAATTTAATTTGACGACAGGATAACGTTTTTTTGATCTGTGGTGTGTACCTTATAATCAGGGTTGGTAACCATAGGTGGCTCCCACTCTCCATCCATCTCATCATCCCAGTCATCTGGCTTCTTGGCATCGGGATCTGGGATGTTCTCAGGCTTGTCCCAATCCTAAAAAAAAAAAAAATAAATAGGTGGCAACATCAAAACACAACCTCTTAGACACATAAACATGTTTTGCAATTACAGTAGATTTCATACAAAATCCATAAACACCTTCTGTTGAATTAAACCTACCGGAACATGAAAACTAACAGATTTTTGGGATGATTAAAATATACCAACCTCTGGTTTCTTATCATCAGGGTCTGGAATCTTCTCCCTGTCATCCCAGTCCTCTGGCTTTTTGGCCTCGGGATCTTTAATCTTTTTGGGGGGCAGGAAGTCCCAATCTTCTTCCAGATTGCCCGACTCGACCTTCTTATTGTCAATCTTCACCTCGTAAGTGTTGTCAGGGTTGACAATCAGTGTGTACAGGTGGGTGTACTCATCATCCTGCAAAGAGGACAGGAGATGTTCATGGTTTCACACAAGGTGCCATGGCTGCAAAACAGATCTTCTAACACAAGACATTGTAATACTTGTTCAATATTTGCCTAGTTGTCTAGATTTGGGGGTAATTTATGTCAATCATTTAAAGCCTCTGTATTTGCCCTAAAACAGAACGGGTTGGAAGGTCATAAAACAGAGTTATTTTCTTATTTCTGGGAATAAATGTGGGAAAGGTTTATTGCCATACCTTACACCTGATGTCCTTGTTAATTAAATAGTTTTTGCCTTTATAGTTGAAGATCACATGAACTTTCTTTGTGCCTGGTCCACAAATATCAGGTCCTGAGTACAATAAGAAAGGAGCAAGGATAAATAATTTATTGAGTCAAAAATAGACTACTAATGTCTGTATGTACACTAAAAAGGGATTTGATCAGAATTATAACTTGCAAGAAGGGAATGAAACATAATCTGAGAATAAGGCAGCAAAAATGTATTTTTTTTTTCCCCCAGTCAAACTATTACTTACCGAACATGATGTTGTAGACGGAGTCTCCGTGCATGTCCTCCTGTTTGAGTTCAGAGGGAAATAGTTTGATGTAGCCACCGCCACAGTCAATGCTCTGCTCGTGTTTCACAGTGAACTGAATGACTAAAGGTTGAGCTTTGTTACTGAAGTCATCAAAACGGGCTGACAAAGCATAAAAGTGAGCATCCTGGCTCGTCTGCAGACCTGCAGGAAAACAAAACAAAAACAGTTTTACTACAAGGGAAATCCAACCTAAGCAGAATTGAACACTTTATTTCCTATTTTTAACTTTAGCTTTGTGACTCTGAGTCACTTTTAATAAGCACATGCTAGAGGATACCAATAGATTTTTTTGTTTCCACTCACCTTTGTCTTTCTCTACGTCTCCATAAAACTTCCCTGCAGACAGGACAAACCTGCCATAGTCTGACTTGTGCTTGGATTCCACCCAGCGCCTCGTCCAGGCATCTGCACAGACAAGTTCAGGTTCAGCTGCACTGCAATCACCATGAGTAGACACACACACACCCTAATCCAGCTCTGATGATGCGTGGAGTGCAGGTGCATTATGGAGGGCTGTGTGTGTAGGGAGAATACAGGGAGGGCAGTGTGTGTGTGTGTGTTGGGGGTGGGGGGCAGATGGGGTTGGGAAACAGATTGAATGGAGAGGAATTGAGGTGGAAGAGGACAGGCTCGAAGATGAATTCTATTCACTGAGCAGAATGTCCCTGATGCTCTGTCACAACTGCAAACAACCCAGCATTTATTTCGGCAATTTAGCCGCTTACCGCCATTATATTAAAACGTCTACGTTCTCATAAAAAAAAAAAGAGCAGCAAAACAACAATGCAATGAAGGAAAATGCTCACCAGCATCCTCAAACTGCTCTCGGAAATACACAGCGGACTCGGCTAGGACAGACGCAGCCGACACGGCCATCAAAATCAGTGACAACGTTGTCATGGTGACGAGCTAGCGGCTCCCGGGGAAAAAAAAACTACAGCACAAATACGCGTAAGAGAAAATATCAATTTATCTACGCGACACAGCAGCGGTTTGGTAGTTTTAGGCCGAGCCTCATGCGATCATTGTACGGTGCGAGGCGAGCCGCCGCGACGGTCCAGTCTGTCTCCTCTCCGCTCTGAACAGATGTCTGAATCTGATTGGACGAAGGTCGCGAGGCTCAACAAGGAACCGTTCCATCGTTCAACCAATCAGGTGAGAGGAAATCCTGGCAGCGATTTCTGTAGCCAATGGGAATAGACCACGCGTTTCCTTGATACACGCCCATGAGGATGATGCAGGGATGAATATTTATTTTCAATAGAAAAGGTTTAGCTGAATTGATTAGATAATACCTTTTTGTCGAAAAGAAAAAAATACTTGTAGGTTATTGGGCACACAATGTTTCTTACTTCCTATTAAAATTCAATTACTGTACATGTCTACTGAAAGATTTAAAATGAAGATACATTTTTTACATATAAAAAATAAAATCAGTTGTTGGTTTTATAAATTTTAATTTGATTTTCATGTTACAGTTATGAGGTTTTTTTTTTCCATTCAACCTTTATTAATACGGAGTCACGAGGACTCATTTACAAGAACCGTTTTAAACAAAAACATAAATGAGGTACACACAATAAATTCATATGTAATTAAAAACAGGAACAAAATAAAATTCTGAAGAAGTTGTTCAAAAATGACTAAATAACTTTGGAAAGGGGGCATCCAACACTTTATTAAAAAGGTCATTTTCAGATAAATCTTTTATTTTCACATATTGTCTCCAATTCGGTAACATTTTCAAGTAACTTTTCCATTGCGTATGACGTTTCATATATCATCCTGTTAATAAGACATAACTTATTAACACTTAAGACAGGTATGATCCAGATATGGGTACTGAATACTCAAATAATAATGTAGTGAAGAGTGCTGTGTATTCTTGTGTTAGAAAGTACAAAAGCAAGAGGACGTGAAGTCTATTTTACAGCTTTAAAAATAAGTATTTAAACCAATCTACAAACATGGCACAGTAAAATGTTTAACTATGATCCAAAGATTTCAATAAATATTCAGTGCTAACAAAAGCACTATGTTGGATATGCAAATATCAACACATGACATTAAAACTTACAAGACAAAAATAAAAAATAAACAGCACAACTCATACATTAACAAAATTAGGATCATAAATAGTGTGAAATAAAAAGAAGAAACGCTGCACAGACTCAACTCGGTGTCAGGAGAGCAGCACCTCACACGATGACTGTCTGGAGTGAACGCGTTTCTGATCTCTGCAGGACGGGACACCCTGCTCCCCCCTGCAGGATCTGTCCTGCTGTCCATTCGTCTGTGAGGGACATGGGCAGACAGGTGGGGACAGTGCACAGGGCAAAGGAGACCTCTCCCATGTGGCTCTGTAGGCAGACGGGCTGGTAAAGCAATCAAACACCTCCTGCAGGTCACGCTCTCCCTATACGTCTAGGGGAGAAAGAAGTTGATCCTCTGTGGTATGGACTTGCATCCTTGAGCTGAGAACAGTCTCTCCTCTTTGGGGATGTACAACATTGCCTTAGCCACCTCATCCAGTGTTGCTTCATCGGTCTCTAGACCTCGTGCAATGTAGGCATCTTGTGCACAGAGCTTAACATGACGGTACTCCAGAGGCAAAAACGGTACAAAGAAGTCAATCAGGTGACCAGACATTAACTCACTCTGAGCAAACCCACCTGAAAGAGACGAAAGATGAAGAAACAACCAAACATGATTAAAGTTTCAGTCATACGTTTATAGACACAAGAGAGATCGGAAGCAAACAAATCAACATTTGGTCACTTTAACTTAAATCCATCTTTGCTGTTTACCTTGAGACTCAATAGTTTCAGCTCGAAGCCGATGCTCCAGATCTTCCATACCGATATCCTCTCGATTCTGACCGGAGTGCCAGAAGTCCAGCGCTACATCGTTGATTGCTGCACCACCAATATTACTGTAGTGATAACAAACAGGGTTTCCTTTTCTTAATTAAACATCTGGACTTTGCCAGAAAAGGTTATATATACACAGAATTGGTGGAATAGTTTGGTATCCTGTAGGAATATTGCCACATTTGATCAACCTGAGCTAAATCAGCTTCCACACAACATGTTCCTTCTCAACACGGTTCTTGTGGTTTAAATTAAATATTATTTCCTTGGTAAAAAACATTACATTTTAAACAGGTAAAGATATTTTTTCTGAACATTTCTTGACTTCTAGACTTAAAAAAATGCAATTGGTGATTCCTACACATCAAATAAAATGATTATAAGTCTGTTTCATCTTAAATCAGTACCTCTGAAACAGCACGTCCCAAATGACCGCCTACAAGCTTTTATCTTACAGGAAATAGGAGCAGAAGTATAGATCATAACTTTTAATGACAGGAATTTTTTTTAGACAATTTTGACAGAAAACAAATTTCAAGGAAGAAAAAAAAAAATTCCTGTTAGAAGCAAAAAAAAAAAAAACAACCATAAAAATCGCGTCTGTTTCCACGCTTGTATTTTGAAAGATATTTGCAACAGAATTTTTTAACACATTTATAAATTGTTTACACAAAAATGATGCCTTAGACTAATTAAAAAATATATTTTGTAAGTGATCTATTAAAAACATTAGGTTTATCTATGCATACCATTGAAATATTTTTCATATTTTTCAAAGTTAATTAACAAAAATAAATTAAACTATTTATTTGAAAATGCCATTCCAATAACTATTCTGATTATCTGAGATGCTGATATGCATTACTCATTATGGTACGTGTTGATACGTGTACATCACTTAAAAACCTGTTTTACAAAACTTTTTTTTCTAGAAAAGTCAAACATGAATTACAGAACATGTAAACTCAAACAAAGATAGCAAAATGGTGAGACCCACCCTTTACTACTGAGGAGATAATGTATCTGGAAGTGGAAAAATACTAAATACCATATTTTTTGCTGTATAAGTTGCGTTTGTTTGCATAAATTGCATGCCCTGCGACTTCTAGGCCGAAGCGACGTATTTATGGATTTTTTTCACACATTTATAAACCAATTTTTGGCTGAGATATGACCGATTTCATTCATTCTGACCCTGAAAATATTGAACACTACTAATTTCAGCCACTAGATGGCAGTCGAGTAGTAAAGCATGCCGTTGTATCATGTCGTAGGTAAAAGTGGCTATTAATGACACAACTGGCTTGCTATAGACTGCCATCATCATCTGCCTGGAGCAACCGAATCACCTTCATCTTGCTGCGCCGCCCTGACGAAATGCAGCTGATTTGACTATCAAAGTGCATTTATTAAGCAAAAGTTCAACTGAGACACACCTTTATTTACTATAATTTCGAGCAAACAAATAGTTGTTTTAAGTGTTAATCTTGTTAGAGTCCTCCTGTGCACAATCCTGCAGCCGCCATTTGGCAGCCCATCTATTTTTGGCACAACACCGGCCCGTATTTCCGGGTTGTCAGCGGTGACACGTAACAAATGTGACGTGTCAGCGGTGACGCATAATTGATGCGACGTATACGGCGAAGCGGCACAATTATGGATTTTTCCACTTTATTAGACATATTTGGACTGATGCAACTTATAGGACGGTGCGACATGTACGGTGGAAAATACGGTAATGGTGAGTTTGTAATCCAGCTTCAGTGGACAAAATGTTCCTGAATGTTTGACCAACCTGAGGAAGAGGAAGATGGCTCTGCGGTAGCTGACTCCATCCACGTTGTCGTAGTGATCCATGAAGGGTTTGATGGCGTCAATAAGACCTGGATGGAGCTTCTCAGCCTCGTCGAAGATGAACAGCGTCTGCGGGCAGCGCAGCACCGTGTCTCGGATGGCGTCTCTCAGCTGGCCCTGCATATTGAGAAGAACAGCAAGCTCACAGTGAAAAAGTAAAAATATAATAAAAATATTGCTACATCTGCAATAGCAAATGGTAAAAATGTTCCATGGTTTATTTAAAATTGTGTGGTTTACACACAAACGTATTTCACCAACACAGCCCGTTTAAACTACTGAATAAAGAAATGAGCTGTTCATTCTTTTAATTTAGTTATGAAAGGATGAAATACATTTTCCAATAAAGAAAAGTGACAAAAAATAAAATACTCCATTTGCAGACTGCAGTCTGGGGACAGTGTGCATAAAGGTTTTCCTGTAACGCACCCTAAAATTAGTACGACTCTGTGTAAAGTTACTATGTCAACACCATTGTGAAAGCTCACACAGTGATTGTGTAAAAGTGATGGAACCACAGTCACCTGTGGCCTAGTGGGACGGATACAAAGTTCCAAAAATCCCTCTCTATACATCAGAGTGTGTGCCGTAGCCTCAATATTTGATTTACAGCAACAACTACCTGATTATTGATCGTTACCGTTCCTGTGCCGAGTTACAACATGCAGACTAAACTCACGATGGATCATATTCCAGGTGCAAGTTCACCAGGTTCGTGCCAGGTGGACCCTGCGTGCCTCACCTTGTACGTGTCCACTAGTCTGGCGTGTGGGAAGTGGAACGGGGCGATGAACAAGCGCACGCACTCACTCTTCACCCCGTCCCGATACAGGTTATCAGCGATGATCCGGGCCACAAAGTTCTTGCCAGTTCCAGACCAGCCATGGAAGGAGAGTGTCAGAGGCTTGTTGGGCTCTGGGTTGACGATGAAACCCTGAATGGCTTTAAGAACCACAGACTGGGCCAGGTGCTGCCCGTGGAGCTTGGTTTGTAGGTCCTTCTCCAAACCTGAACAATGAGAACACAATACACTTGAGCTCTGCCTAGGGACTTATAAATAGAAACATGGAAGAATATGAAACATGATAGACATTTTGAAGACAAAAACTCATGACCTCAAATCTTACCTTGATCAACTTCCAATAAATATTTTAAGCTTTATGTAAACAATTTCCAACTTTGTCACAGGGACGGTGAGTATTTCATGATCTAAATGAGCAGCAACTGAATAACATCGGACCTTTTAAAAAGCCAACAGGTCCTTTTTAGACTCAAAGCTTCTTTCTCAGAGAGCCGTCTCAGTTTTAGTTTCGTTAGGTGTGGTTCATCTAACTGCTTCCTAGATTTGAAATGAGGACCACCTGCATCATGAAGGACCCCACTCACCCAGCACACACACTTTTTGCCCTGCTCCCCTCAGGAAGGAGGTTAAGGAGCATTAAGTGTAGAACCACTAGACTGAGGAACAGCTTCTACCCTGAGGCTGTTAGACTCATGAATCTCTAACTAGAATAATCACTGTGAAAAACCATATCCTGTTGCTGCTGATCTGTTTCAATGTTGATGTGTTCATGCGTGCACATCTGCTCACAGACTCATGTTCATGTTTGTGCTGATGTTCAATGTTTTTATGTTATGAGTGCTTAGTGTATATTTAGTTGATGTTTTTCTTAGTTCATATTTTAGATGTTATCTTTGTTTTTCTTTTACATTTTATTGTTGGATGTAACTGGGACCCTGTGTACATAATTTCGCTCCACCACATGTACCACATGAGGTGCGAATGACAATAAAGAAACTCTGACTCTGACAGATGTTTTTATAGTTTACATTGTTGCCATTTTTAGATGTAACTGGGACCTTGAGTACACAGTTTCATTCCACCTCATGTACCACATGTGATGCACAGCTGCAGAAAGAAACGCTTTGCAGAGAGTGGTGAAGGCTGCACAGAAGTCAGTTGGAGTCAGGCTCCCCACCATCACAGACATCTACACCTCCAGATGCAGGAAGAGGGCCACCTGCATCATGAAGGACCCCACTCACCCAGCACACACACTTTTTGCCCCGCTCTCCTCAGGAAGGAGGTTGAGGAGCATTAAGTGTAGAACCATTAAACTGAGGAACAGCTTCTACCCTGAGGCTGTTAGACTCATGAATCTCTAACCAGAATAATCAGTGAAAAAAAATTCACTAATACCACTTGATTGTTGATATGTGCTGCTGATTATCCATGCTGCTGATTTATTTCACGCAGTGTTCGTACTCATCTGCTAACATATTTCTTAGTTCATATAATCTTATTACTGTTTATCTTTTACATTTTATAACTTTTGATGGCTGTAACTGGGACCCTGTGTGGGACCCACATGTGGTGGAACGACAAATAAAGAAACTTCGACTTTGATCATGAATAGTCACCTTGAAATATCTTTTTCAATGAGTTCAGCATCGAAATTGATCATTTAAAATGTGAAAAATCTTTTTTGTTTGTTTTCTTGAAAGTACCAAAATGTTCCCCAGAACTTTTCAAAAGCATTTTGAAACAACAAAAACTACCAATTATGATCCTCATTTTTTGATCAATTTGAAGGCTAACCTGCAACTTCAAATAATTTTAATGTCGCCTGTCTAAATGTCATTCTCCTTCAGTACATGCAATTTATACTGGCAATAAAATATGACTTATTTGAATTAATTTATTGCTCCTGATGTGAACGGTGTTAAATCAAATATACACAAAGTTGCTCATTCTGAGTGTTTTTAATGACAGGATGAAATATGTTGGCTGCGTTCCGGGACAGTGAGGTGAAAACAGATACCTGTGATGTTGTTGGTTATCCTGCAGTCTCCAGACTCGCAGCACTGACCCAGACGACAGTACCACTGATGGAGCAGGCTGACGTAGTCCTGAGGAAAACCTGCCCACAGGTCCCCGACAGGAACTGAACCCAAACAAATTTAAGTCAGCGACACAATCCATTTATGTAGGACACAGGAGGAATCTATGGAAGCGAAGTGCTAAATGATCAGCTGTGACGGTCATTACATGGTTTCTCTCCGTCTCACCTTGCTGCGAGGCATCGTCCTGGTGGGGCTGACACTCCCCCTCCCAGATGTTGCAGTAGAAGTAATTAAAATAGTAGGTGGAGGCGTTGCTAATGCTGCCGAGGTGGAGGAAGTCGGCCTCCGCTGCGGACAGGGCGCAGAGCAGCGGCAGCAGACACCGCGCCAACATGGAGGGAGCGGCGGGAGGACGGTCCGCGGCGGGCCGGGGGTCCAGGAGGAGACGGCTCGACCCTTCACGGTTCTTCTCCCCCCATTAAATAACCTGCTCATTACTGACTAGCCCGGAGTATGTGTGTGGGAGGGAGGCGCTCGCTCCACCCTCGTGATCCCAGCATCACCCGCTGCAACTAGCTCCGCCCGTCCGGAGGAGGGCGGCAACACCAGTTCGAATCGTTGCAGTCTGATGTATGGAGGGTCGGATGGGACAAAAATGAATAGCGTACATCATGAAATGTCCAAATATTTTATTTCATGCACCATGAAATGTCCCTATAATTAAATGTATTTAATCAAAACATCATGAAATATACAAATAGAAAATGTCCCTTTAAATGAATCTTTTAAATAATGGCACAATAAGTGCCATTTAAAAATATTCATGTTTTTACTTCATTTTGTCACATTCCACAGTGATCCATCCATTTATCTTCTGCTTGTTCCAAAGTCGGGTGGCGGAGGGTGACTTCAGGCTCATTTGACTTTAAATACTGTACTCAACAATGCTTCCATTCATTAAGTATACTGTTCCCATTTTAATTATGAATAGGCATGATAGTGCTTGCAATGCTAGATTTGTGCCTACTCCCAGTTTGTTGAAAGCCATGTTCATATGAATCTGCGCTGCAGTTTTCCTTCTTCAGGGGTTACCAGTGGACTGTGTGCTCAATCCTGACAATCACAGAGCTACATGCAGTGAAGGCTGTACAGAAGTCAACCCCCCACCATCAGACATGTACACCTCCAGATGTGAGCCACTTGCATCATGAAGTTTACCCCTTTCTCAAGGGCAGTGTGGGGCAAACAAGTAGAAACGGGTGCAGCTTTTCACCTCTCCTACCCACAGATGTTGACCCAGTTTACAGACCTTTCATATGCCCTTCTCAAAACATCTGCTACCACTTCCAATTGCATTTACACTGTAGAAATACCTAAACTAATTTTACTTTGTCAACTGCCCTCTTCTGGAATCATTCAAGTTGTAGCATGAAAAATATCAACTTGTTTTACACTGGATGGATGCACCAACAACCTGGACCAAAACCTGAAAACTCAGGATCACAGCACTGACTGCAGTCATCATTATTAGGCCAGTTAACACTCATCCCAGGCCCTCCCAAGACAATAACACAAGTAAAATCACTTTAAAAACAACTTTATTACACTCAAGACAAAGCACACGTTATGACTCAAACAAAATAAATAATTTCACAACTTTTTAAATCAACCCCAGATTCAGATGATGTGGCACGTCGTCAGTACAAATCTTCAATCTGTAAGAAAGTACATTTCATAGTTAGAATATAAAACTTAAAATTTTACTCAAATCATCTTCAACAAACCACTTGACCTCAGACAAAAAATGGAACGGTAAAATAATATAATCAGGGCTCATTTGGCAGAATCTTTTCATCACTGGCAGAATGGTCAGTTTCAGAGGACATCTTTATGTCCAAGCGACTAATTATCAGATATCAAAAACACTTACCAGTTAAATGCACCTCCCTGGAGGAAATAAAATTAAATTAAGAGATTAGTTACAAGACAACGATCAGCTTTTAACATTTTAATTCACTGGGCTGCTCAGCAACACATTTGTCCACAACATAGTTCAGGTCAGACATTTGTTACAAACATCACTGAACCCACATTGTGCATCAAAACTGCTGAAAGTCTTCCTTACCAGAGTTCTTAGCTTTCTACTTCAAACTGCGGTCCAGTGTGATGTTGGGCCTGAGGAGACAGGAGCATTAGTCAAACTCCAACATTACACAATGAGATCACTACATCTACACTGACCACATCAGCTAGAGCTAATAAAAACACTTCATGATTTACAATCAGCCTTTATAATTAGTCATCACACAGGCCAAAGCTTGCAGATCAGCCAGGGTCTATTAAAGCAGCAATTATGATCCCTGCTGACAGATTCAGCCCCTTTCCACCCAGGTGAGGTCGTTTAGGGTTGAAAAATCTTCAATAAACCCAACTCTTCTAAGTCACCTGGATTCAAAAGGCGCCAGGGATGTAAAATTTAAAGACTCACCGCATCAGTTTGACATCTTCTGCACCACCGGTGGACTCGATCCCACAGGCTCTGCAACATTAAAACGGTAACTTGAGTACATTTAGACATGCAGTACAGTTAATGGTTCTAAAAACAAAAAGCTCAGATCAGATTTTACAAAAATCCTCAACTAGATCAGAGACCTGATTCAGATTCATCACACCTGAATAAACTTAAATTTCAGACAGGATTTAATGAAACGCTTACCTTCATATCTGAAGAATCTCAAGGTGTGCGTCTATGGAGGAGAGATTCATTTAAAATAGTTTTCTTAGCTTTAAACCCTGAGCTATGGTTAGATGACACATCAGTTACGAGTCTTCGTCAGTCATCTGTTGAACTATGAAATCATCATTGTATCAACCTTGACTTTAAAGTGAGGCCTTCTGGCATTAAGCTCACCTCCATGAGTTTCGGCGCAGATTCAGCAGACGGACTAGATCATTCGCCAAGACGGTTGGTGCCATCTACTAGAAACTCCAACAAGTTCATGGCAGATTTCCAAGCTGACCCAAGCCCTATATATGATTTTGGCTATTTAGGCTGCTGGACGTTCCCATCTGAAACATAAATAAACTGAATGAATAAGAGAACAAACTTCAGATAGTGACCATACAATAGAAAAGGTTGATGCATCAGTTAGGAGCGAAAGACAATAGTTTCTTCGTCATGGTTATCTGTTGAACTATGAAATCATCATTGTATCAACCTCGACTTTAAAGTGAGGTCTTCTGGCATTAAGCTCACCTCCATTTAGTCTGCTGGATGTTCCATCTGAAACATAAATAAACCGAATGAATAAGAGGAACTTCAGATATTGTGATCATACAATAGAAAAAGTTGACACATCAGTTAGGAGCGAAAGACATAGTTTCTTCGTCACGGTTATCTGTTGAACTATGAAATCATCACTGCGTCACCAGTTCAAGTTAACAATGAGCAGGCACACCAACGTACCTTCAGCCGATTCAACATTGAAGACCAGGAGGGGAAAGCATCACAACAACCTGTAGGACAAACGCAGGTAGATATGACTAAAAAGTATAGCTTTAAATATAGTTGCATGTCAGACTGAACTGCATCAGAAAAAAAAGTCATCTATCACTCTTTTTCAGAGAGATTCCCATTGTTTAATAAACAAAATCATCATTGACAGCGTCAAAACATTAATAGGAAACTTTTTGGTCAATTACCTGCTTGGAGGTAAGAGTTACTTCAGTCAGGATTCAACCTGCAGGAAGGAGAACATAAAAATACAGTAATCAGCGATTGTCCAGATTTGCCTGAGAAGGCAACAAAGTCATACGTGTGCCTCAGATAACTCATAAGGTGGTTGAAGCATCATCATCCATCTTGTCAAGAGTAGCAAATATTTGTCATCAATGTAGCACAGAGTGTTAAGAGGAATCTCATTCACAGAAACCAATGTTCTTCAAAAAATTTAATTCTGATCAAAAATTACTTTAAGAGTCATCTCAAACGATATTGGTCATTATAATTGCAAAACTAAAAAGCATATAAAAAGGTATACAGAGACATCCACTTCATGGCAGAATTACCTTCATTTTGCAGTTCTTTCATGCATTTTTTCTTCATTCTTGCATTTTCTTTATTTTTTAAAACCTGCATAAACAGATTTATTAGTACAGATTTCACCTAAATTTAAAAAAAAGGTGCATTTATTAAACAGAAGTCTCATATCAGTGATTCCTCAGAAATCTCTTCTGTCCACTACTCTTACACATGATTTTAATCATTGACTTGCAGCCAGGACAATCTTAAGTCAAGAAGCAAACATACCTGTAAATGTTAAGGTTTATGCTCATTGTTCAAGCAGATTGTTTCCTATCATTGGTAACAGCATGATGAACCTAAAAAGAAGACATTTTGAACGCCAAGCCCTACAAAATCTGATACTGCATTATTACACAATCATGCACTTCAGTTCTGCCTTGAGATATAAATTTAGCAGCAAACTGTTCATAAAACTCACCACGTGAAGGGCCTTTCCATCTCGAACCACAACTCTGTAAAAATAATAAATGTGTTAAAACATAACTAGCAACAGGATGCGTGCAACTAAATAAAGCGGCCTGCAGTTTTTTAAGGAGCCATCCCTGGAGTCAGCGTGTTGGATTGTCATCATTTTTAATCAGATGTCCCTACCAACACTTAGCTCATCATTTAGCCAAGGGACTAAAATATACTGAAGCGATTTTAGTAACCAAGAGTCAGTCTCAGCTAGAGGGCGAAGTTAGCAACAAGCGCTAAATCAGCACGTGGCTGAGGCCTAGATGCTAATTTTGATAAAAATGATTCTCAATTTAATGCTACAACAAAATCATATACTGTAGTACAGACATATAAGATAAACTTAAAATTCTGACTAAAATAATTTAAACAAAAATATATAAATAGCGAATTTTAACAGCAACTCACCTACGAGAAAGAGCCGGAGAAAATGAGAGAACGAGTCAGAGCGCGCAGGGTTTTTATAAAAGGTCTCGCAAAGCTTTATGGGTAAAAACATTAGAAAAAGTAGCGACTCCTGCTGGCCGAAAGCGATACAGACTCACCACATGTTCGATAAAAAAACGATGTTACACCAGCAAACCACATTTTTGCAGCAGAGTGAGTTGAGCAGAGAACCATCTTAAAAAAAAAAAAAGACCAAACCTTGGGAATTACCTCATGGAGATTTAATATTATGCATCAATAAACAGGAGAACTGTATACAATCAATGGTTATGATGAAAGGAAAAATAAAAATACCTTTGCTTTGATTGCTCTCCATTAGGCAATAGGGAGCGATACTGAAATGAATGGCAAGGCCTCCTTTGTAAAAGGTCATACAAAAGACAAAACGGAAAAAAAATATCTGGCTTTACATTTGGTTATATTTGATTTGGACCATTTCAAAAGCACTTTTGCTTGTGTCTATAGGAAAGATAAAGTAAAGAGTTAAAACTAATTTGAGATTTTCAACGCATATAATTGCTGGATTTGGATACATTATAAGCAGTATCTTTATAAATCCCTTCATAAGTTTAAATAACTCCAAAGATCTCCATTAATCAAGTAATTAGCATTAAAGGGCAACAATCAAATCTTAAGTAAAAATTATTAAAAATAATAGTTTTGAGCTGAATAGCATTGGCTGGTTAACATGAATGTATTTCTTGTAGCCTTGTGTAACCTTTTACAACCTTTGTAATATTTTATTACAAAAAAACACAATGAACTGACAAAACTGTAGCAGACCTCTGAAAACACAGCAGGGTTTCAAAAAGATGACTCTGGCTGCTTGTGAGTAGACGTCACATCCATTCATCGACATAAGAAACAAGAATGCAATGTGCAAAGTTAAAAAAAAAAAAAAAAAACTTTGGAGACTATTTTAACCACAGACACTCATCATGGACCAGTTGTGCAGAAAAACAAAAACACAAACAATCATTTTGTTCATAAATGCATTCAGATTTTGTGGAAAGCTTATGATCGGACTGCTCAAGAAAATCCATTTAATCTTTCATTTACACGTTTATTTTGGCATAACGGACACTGAAACTTTAAACTGATTTGCATATATTGTTTAAATATCCCTCATCCCTCCTGATCTGTGTGTTTAGATGCCATGGCTCATGTAGGGTTTTGCTTCTGAGAAACACTTAAGACACAAACCGATGTGAATGGCCACAAAGGTAGCAAAGTTTCCTCTGAAATGAAAAAAATAAATAACAACAAAAGGCTAAATGGAATGATCCTTACAGATGTAAAAACATCAATTCATATCCCCAATTATTTTACACTATTGCCAGAAAGAAAGCTTTGAAAATAAAACTAAAATGAATATATACTTCAATCGTATGTATATCTATATATAAACATCAGTTGCAGGTGAGCAGAGAAGTTGTCTCTCGTTCACGTTCATCTGCTCCACTGTTGTAAGGCTGTCAGACTGTGGGAGGGGGCAGCAGCTTTCTTTACTGTCACCAGATTCCCTGAGATGTCGAGCTTTACTTCATTTGTACACCGTCATCTACGAACACCTTGCCCCCTGAAACAAATGCATACAAAAACAAGAGCTGCTCCAGATAATCTTGTGTATCTGTTGAAGGGTGCGGTTGTGGAGCTGATGGATGAAGCTGGGAGACGTCTCACTTCTGCGCTGCAGTCTCATGTTGGCAGGTGGTCGGTATCAGAGGCCAGCGGAGGTGAAATCGCCCAAACAAACAGAAAAGGTTTACTAATATTCAGGTTACATCGTTGACGCTTTCATTCATTTTTTTTTTTACAGTCAAATGCAAAGCAGTGTACATGTTCAATCATTCCAAGGCTTGGATAAGAAGTGGTTTTTGCCATAGAGTTCTTATAAAGACTCTAGTCTGTGCGCAGTTCTTTTTGCTCGTTTGTGTTCATCAGCGTGCCGGGGGTATCCTCACTGCCTCTGAGAGGCTAATCTCTTTAATAGCGGCTCATCGTAGATCCAGCACTCCCCATCTTCATGGAAAAGCTGCAGAAAAATACAACAAGCAGTCAGTTTAACATTAGAACTAAACCTTACAGGATAAACGTATAGGCCTGTCACAATAAACAATAAATCAATTCATCACATGATGAATGAAAATTATCAACCTCATTTTCATTTATTGGCTTTATCGTTTCTTTGCGTTTCTCCCTTTCTACTGAAGACACTGGATGACAAAAGGCTCAACACCGGTGCTCTTCACTGACCACTCCCTTTCTCTTTTCTCATTAAAATCCATTTTAATCGTCCAAAATCGTGTATTTGGATCATTAAAAGCAGCTAAGATGAGAAGCTAAGCTACGAGCTAAGCTAACAAGCCGACCTCGAGAAAAAAAAAACTCTGTCTTGTCGAAGCTCCAAAATTCACGGTTGGAACCGGTGCCTTTGTCTAAAAAGTTTTTCTCTGCAAAAAGCTGAGAACTTGTTTATAGTGGTTTTTTTTTATTTTTTTTTATTAAAAGCTTTGTGTGCTATGCTAAAGATCATGATGCATGCTCAATGTTATGCTATGCTATAGCTAGCTATGCTAAAGAGCTCAAACCACACCGAGCGTCCGCCATTTTGCGAACCAAAAAACAGGAATGAGAGACAGCCCATGTCACGTCAAGGGGCCTCCCTCCCATTTTTCTTAAAGAGATACGCTGCTCGCTCCCTCACTATCCATCCTTTGGGTCAAACCATTTTATACTGCCATCCAGTGGTCAAAAAACGTACTACACAAAAAATTAATAATTTCTTTTTAAATTTGACAATTACTAATTATTGTCAAATTTCAAACAATATTATTGTTTATCGCAAACATTTCTGAGACAATTAATCACCCAGCAAAATTTGTTATTGTGACAGGCCTATAAACGTATTGTACATTTGTTGTATTCACTTACAACACTCAAAGAAATATTCTTGTGTAAAACGTGTTGATGTTTAGGTTTTTAGCAACGATTGTTCTTTATGACAGCTTAGCAAAAGCAGAAAAGTTCACCCTGGTCTCCCACTGCTGCTCCTGCTCCTTTCTCTCTCTGGCTTCGGCTCGTTGTTTCTCCTCCAAATGATGTTTGGCTTCTGTTGCTGCGTTGATGTCTTTAAGCTTCAGGTTCAGCGTCACGTCCCTCCATAGTCTAGTGTAATAAGAGTCAGATCAGGTTTACTTTTGATTATAGGCTAAAGACGTGATGAAAGCTCGTTAATGAACGGATTCTCCTCTCACCTTCTGGATTCATACTCCAGCTGGTCCTCCAGCTTCCTCACTTTTTTCTTAATGATGCCCATTTTCTTAGTGTCTATAAACAATGTGTTTTCCTAGAATCACAATATGTATTAAAGATTAAAGATAAAAAAAGTTTAAAAAAAATTTGCAAAAATGTATTCTTGTGGCGATCCAGAAAACACTTTCTCAAATTACATGCAAATGAAAATGTGGGTTTCTGTGCGAGGTAAATTTCTGCAATAAAACACAAGAAGACAATTTTAAATAAAGGACTCACTCCAGTTGCCCACTTGGCGAACATCACTCCATTCCATTCTCCTTCAACGGAGCAGAAAGATTTCTTGTCATTCGGTGCACTGCAAGAAAAACCAGGAAACCCGTGAAATATTTTCCTTAAAAAGTTGAGTCTACGAGTGAATGTGTGTGAATGTTTATGAAGCATTCACACTACTGTGATCCGTTTTTCTTCCGTACGCAAACTTGTGTTCCTTCTGTTTTATTCTGTTAATTTAAGCTTGTTCTACCTTTTCAGCTACCTTTTTAGCACTTTTTTAGCTAATTTCAGCTGTTTTCAGATGCATTCAAAATTTTTGTGGTAATTTCTGCTACTTTCAGCCAAATTAACTTATTTAAGCTAATTTCAGCTTGTAATGCTCGTTTCAGCTTTTTCTACTAGCCTTTTCTGCTATTTCAGCTACTATTTAGCTGTTTTATGCTAATTTTAGCATTTTCAGGTAATTACACTTTTTTTTTTTTTTTTTTTAGCTCATTTCAGCTTTTTTTGCTTCCTTCTGGTAATTTAAGCTTCAGTAGCCTTTTTGAAAAGTACCCTTTTCAGATTTTTTTGTTGTTGCTAATTTCAGCTTTTTTATGTTTTTTTTTTAGCAAATTACCAAATTCTTTGCTAATTTCTGCTTTTTTAAACCTAATTCAGTAAATATGTGTTCTTTCTGCTTTCTTCTGCTAAAGTATGCTTGTTCTTCCATTTCAGCATGTTTTTTTTTTAGCTAATTGCAGCTCTTTCTCAGCAAGATTTTCAGCAATAAGCATTCACACTGCATTTTCACAGGAAATACAATTCATCTAGCTACGTTTGAGTCTGCACTGAACTTACAAAATCTCAGCTGTGATTCTGTGCTTCTTCCCGCCATAGAAGGGTTTGGTGTGGAAAATGATGTTAGCGCTGTAGCCTGACTTGGAGCAGGAGATGTTGCACTCTCCACCCAGCTCCACCCACGGCACCGTCAGGATGGACCTGCAGGGAACAGGCTCAGGTCAGACAGGAGAGTGGTCTTCTCCAGTCAGTGACAAGACAAGAACACTTCAGGACATACCTGCCATATCCATTAGGGAAGGTGAGAATGTAATGCTCATCATGCTCCAAACAGGAAACACAACCTGGATGAAGATCAAAGGATTTTTATTACAGCCTCCAAAATGCAGAAAAAAGAATAAATTGTTTGAAAAAGTGTCTGTTTTACCTTGACCGATGTTGTGAACGCCTATAGACATTCCAAGAAACTTTGACTTAGTCCAGATGTGAGCATTGAACTGGATCTTCTTATTCAAACATTCGGCATAGAATGCAGAGACTGCAAATATAATAATAATAATAATAATTTTAAAAAAAGTAAACAAGCTGTCTTGTGGCTGACGATTGTTTTCTATTCAAACATTTTGGCAGCGAATGCTATAAAGAAGAATATTTGGTACTCACTGGGCGGGTGGTGAGAGACCTGCTCTGCCACAAAACTCACATTGCTGGCTGAAGACCAGGGAACCGGCCCGTCTGACGCCATCTCCTAGAATCCAACACAGCAGACAACATGAAGGAGTGAAGAGTAAAACACAGAATAGCACTTCAGAGCTAGTGGTTACTGCTACCAGGTTATGATCACCAAATATTACAAATGGTTCTTTTAGTCTGAACTTTGGTGACAGTTTCTTTTTTAAATGTGCTATATAAATAAATCTGACTTGAACAGTTTATTTAAGTAATTTTAAGTTTTTATTTTGACTTCCTTTTTTCAGCTGCTCTCTTCTTCAGGGGTCACTGCAGACAACTAACTCGCTCGAAGACTTGGCAATTGTTTTTACGTCGGATGTTCTTCCTGACGTAACCACAGACCACCGAGCTACCACAGCCCTCTGTGTGGAGCAGAGAGCTGCCATCTAGGGTGCCCAGCGGAGGGGAGTCGAACCAATGACCTTCCGATGACAGGCTAGCCTTCTCAAACCTCTGCGCCACCACTCCCCTGCCAAGCTTTTATTTTGACTGATTTACATAAATGCTTTCATATGCAACTGTCCCCCCATCATCAAATTTATCCAGATATAGCAGAAAAAAACCTAAAACTAATTTGATTTTTTTAACAACAAAAAAAAAATTACTAATGCCACTTTAACTAGTGATATGTGACTTATCCGTGCTGCTGATTATCCATGCTGCTGATCTCATGCTGCCTCATTCATACCCATCTGCTCACCCCAGACTCATGTTCAGGCTGCTGTTACGCCGTATTGTTTTACATTACTAGTGTTTAGCGTATATCTTAGATCCTTATTTACAGTTTCTTTTTATACTTTATATTTTGACATTTTTGGGTGTAAACCCTGTGTACATAATTTCGTTCCACCTCATGTACCACATGTGATGTGAACGACAATAAACCTACTTGAACTTGAAAATGAGTTTCTAAGTAATAATAAAAGGTCCGACACTGGCCAGATGACAACAGCAGAACTTTGCCTCACCGTCTGAGGAGAAGGATCGTCCGTCTCGTTGGGACAATCCCAGTGGCAGAAGAAGACTTCGCCAAGAATCGGATTGTAAGGTTTCTTGGCCACCGAGCCTTTCCTCCCAGCGTGGAAAGCCGATAGGTACCACTTCACCACCTGAACCATGCGATCTCTGGGCTCCGGCTGGTCAGCGATACTAAAAAATGTATTTAACAGGGTTTAACGACAGCATAAAGTCTAATCACAGCTCATTTAGAGGAGGCTGTATATTGTTAAAATTCACGCACCTTACAAATAAATCAGGATGTGCAAAGAAGTCTGCGTACATCTCTAACAAAGATCTCCTCTCTAAAATGAAGGTAGGCAGGACCACCTAACAGGTCAAAGAAAAAAAAGCTTTCAGCTTCAAACATTAAACAGGGACCACTATTAGGACAGATCAGACTGGAGCCGCACACTGGTGGGGGAATAAAAAGAAAAGGTGCTTACTTTTGTGAGGTCCATCCCCAAACGAACTTGAGAGAGCAGATGCATGATGACGCTTTTGTGCTCTTCTACAGACTCCCCCTCACCATCATCATCACGGTCGTCATGGCTATCAAACTGATCTAAGAAAAACATCACAAGTCTCATATGACCAATGAATCACACTTTGAAACAGAAACATTTTATACGAGCAACAAAAACATGGAGGTGTCTGATATTTTCCTTGTACCTTTAGGAATTTCTAACTATGAATAAATTAATGCTCATAGGGATGAATCATATTTTTTAACATTCGAACATGTAAAGGACTTATGCTGTTAATGGTTCTATAGATGGACTTTCAACTTTTTATACAATCAGGTAAATTCAAAGAAAAGCAGATGCTGCACTTTATAACAAGACTAATCAAATATTTCAGATTTATTGTACTGTCGTATTTTTTGCTGTATAAGTCACAGCTTTTTGCATAAATTACCATGCCCTGTGACTTATACAGCAAAGTTACTTAATGTATTTTCCCATACTTTTAACCCAATTTTTGGTTGAGATCTGACGATTTCATTCATTCTGACATGGAAAATATTGAACACTACAATTTTCAGTCCACTAGAGGACCCTCGACTAATTTGGCAAGCCAAGTGTCTCATTAATAGGTAAAAGAGGCTATTAATGAGACACTTTGCTTGCCATACAAGCCACCTTCGTCTCTCTCCAGAACTTCTGGAGCAAAAATCAAATCAGCTGCATTTCGCCGCACCGCCCAGGTGAAATGCAGCTGCTTTGACCATTAAAGTGCATTTATTAAGGAAAGGTTCAACTGAGACACACTTTTACTATAATGTCGAGCAAACAAACAATTGTTTTTAGGTGGTTATCTTGGTAAATTTTGAAGAAATGCACAGTGAGTCATCTCTCTGCGTGCTCCCGCAGCTGCGAATCGGCTTTTGAAATGCAGCTGACAGATCAGAGAGCAAGCTTAACACTTTTTTTAAGCACACATTTACTCTCGAACGCTGACCAACGCTTACCTTAACTTTTGACGGAACACAGCGCTTTTCGCATGCGTCCGAATACGGCAACACTACGGCATGCCGGCTGTAGTTAGCTTGTAATTTCGCTATTTAGTTCTCAAAGAAAACAGACTTTAACAACATTTACGCAGTTTTCAACTCAAAAAACGTTAACGGTTAAATCTGACAACTCTGATTTTACATCAGACAGCATTACTGAGGTTAGCTGGTAAAAGACAGATCTCCATCATAGGCTAAACGTTTATCGTTTCTACCGTGTACTGTTTATATCACGCATTCCTAATTTCGAGCAAACAAACAATTGTTTTTAAGTGTTAATCTTGTTAAATTCTTGTTAAAGTCCTCCCGTGCACGCTCCTGCAGCCGCCATTTGGCAGCCAAGCCATTTTTGGCACAACACCAGCGAAGCGACTTATCTATGTATTTTTTCCACTTTATTAGACATTCTTGAACTGATGCGACTTATACGGCGGTGCGACGTGTACGGCAGCAAGTACGGTAATCGTGTTGCGCATCTTAAGCTTTCTTCAAATATTTGTCCTTTAGACTTGAATATCTTTTAAAAATCTTTGTACCTGCATCTGTGGTGCCGTTGGACATGGATGAGTTGATGGACTCGGTGGTGTTGGGCCGTTTCAGCGCCGTTTCTTCATTAGCGACGGGTGAGGCAGTGGGAGGCCCTGAGGTTCTAGGGGTCAAGACAGGGGAGACAGAAAAGTTAAAGTGGAAGCTGGAGGCGATTAGATAGAAGTACACAGGCAATTTTTGAAGCAAGCTGCTTATGCAGCAGGATTTTTATGCCCTCTAAGCTGTTTCCCCACCTAAGATGAGAAACTCTAATGATGGCTGCTGTCAAGCTACAGAACAACAGCTCTACAGCAGCTGCGCTAACGAAGCAGGTGAGGTGACAGTACACTCACTCTATGCAGTGTTTGGGCGAAGTGTTGCTCTGGTAAAACTCATCAGCATCGTAAAACTCATCCTCGCTGGAAGAGTAAGAGAAATCTGGCACAGAGTGGGGGGGCAGAGGGATGTGAGCCGGAGAGGCGACGCCGCTGCTGGAACCCGACGGGCCGCTCCCTGACAGTACAAAAAACAACAACCACACGAATCAGACCATGTTGAGGTTCTCTTCCATTCAGTTTGATGAAAAAAAAAAAAAAACTTTAACCAGTTTCTAAATGATAAATCCAGTATGATGGACAAGCTGTGCATATAAACGTTCAGCCGTCTTTAAAGCAGGGACTGCTTCCTCTGCAGAGCAGAATGACTCCACACTCAAGCATGCAGCTAGCCTCCTTAATGCACCGCGCAGCATTAATCCTGCTGCCTCAGCACAGAAAACAAACAGGGAGCAACCTCTGCTTTCTGTACTTGGCTTGATTTGACTTGTTTACTGAAACAGACGTGCAATATCAAACTCTACTTTTCTCAGAAGTTTAGTTCTTATTGCATTCACTTCTTTTTGCATCTAATGATGCATCCTAAAAACTACCCACCATAATCTCAGTTTAAGACAAACTGCTGTTTTGTTCTTGCAGAATGAATAAAATTGTGTGGCTTTGTAGCTCGTTTTTCATGCACAACAAGATCTTTGGCTTTGAGACAAAATGCAGCAAAACAGAAAAAAAATTCAAAAGTTTAGTCTTTTATAAAAACTGCACTTCAAACGCACAACTTGTAAAGAAAATCAGTCAAACCACAACAAAGAATATTCTGGTACTAGTTAAACATCAAAAATCATCAGTGACACAATGACAAATACGAACATGTTCTGAAGTCTTAAATAAAAATGTCCTCCATGAAGACATTGTCCCATCTAACTGGTAAAATACTACATAAACGAGTTATCGTTACACGTGTTTAACTTTCAGGTTTTAGGTGGGACAGACCTCATTTTAAATTGTTTCAGCCCAACTCAAATGAATGATTTAATTTAGGCTATTTTTTGGTCATAAAACACTGACATTCAGGTTTTGGAATACTCTAAAAATAATAAAGTCTCTGAAAGTTATGTTATCAAAAGCTTTTGTCATAATAGTGAATCTAAATGTGTCATGGCTGCTGACAGATGAGAAGGTTTCATTTTATTTACTGAAACTTCAGGTCACTTTATCTTCTACTTCTGTTTTCTAATCAAGAAAATCTGGGAAAATATAAACGTCTCACTTGTGGCCATGCTGTAGTATTATTTTTATTCCTCATTTCTTTTTATAATAAATTTCCACAAAAGACAAATTACTTGTTTAATTCTTGTGTCTGCCATCATTTTAAAAAATCCACCACAGGAGCCAGAGTCTGTGTGGTAGAGACGTGGGGCTGGATGCCCCACATACACACCTCACACAAAATAATAAACTTACAACTAAATTTATTAGAAAGATGAATATCTGAAAGTAAGAACTTATCAACATAATTCCACTCATAAACAAAAATGATCTGATGCCATTTTAGTTTTTATCAGGCAAATGACCAAATAGTTTATATGAACATAAACTAAAAGGAAGGGGGGCTGTGCTGGTTCAGCTTCAACTTCCTCATTTTGTTCCAATGTCTAGTTTATGTTGATGTGACATTTATACCAACACTATTGCATGTTTCCTGCTCAATGACAGATGTGGATAATGAGAAAATACCACTACACAGCAGGAATGGGAGACAGCGAGGAAGTGAATATTCAGAGCAATCTGCTGGCTTCCTTAAATAGATAACTTTTACTAATTGGCTTTTATAAAGTATGTGAATGTTTCTGTTCTGTGCCCTGAGATGACTTCTGTTGCGACTTGCTCTATATAAATAAACTAAATTGAATTGAACTGCACCCAGAAGATGTGTCGTCCACTAAAAACAGAACATACATGTGAAAAAAATATTTATTTATCTGCTTCCTGGTACTTTGCAACGTTTATGTACACTAGTCTCTCGCTACTTCATGGTACGACTGTTGCGGACTCGCTCTTTCTCAGTGTTTTAAAGTAAGATTGTACATGAGAAAAAAAAAAGATTGTACATGACATGCGATTGTCAACTTTAATATTACTCACGTAATTGGGACAGTATGGGATACAGTAAAAGGTGAATGGAAAAAAAAAACTTCGGGCAGGCACCGCCATTTTGTAGTTTTCTCTCAATAAACCTATACTGAATCGCCACTCAAAAGGACTACATGTCCCAGAATCCAACATTGCTTCCAGCCATTGCTTTCTGCTGAAATGGAGGGAATGTTTTGATCCGATCCAAAAAAGTTTGGTCCTTATTCATAGTGACTTCGGCGCTCAGTGGATGTAAAGAGCCGTACGGAACTGACCAGGAATTGGACCAGAACTGGACTTCCAGCCCCATCGGTCAATCTGAGTGCTGCTTGCTGGCCCAGGGAGTCTTTCGAGCAGGGAGGTGTTGTTTGGAGGTCCGGTGTTGTCTGAAGAGCTCACCGGGACTTTTTAAAATGTAGATTTGGACTCGATCTGGACCAATGTGTGGTTTTGTTTGCAGCACGTAGCTACTGTGCAGTACATATAGGTATGTTTTTTAAAATGACATAGGTTTAAGAGTTTAGAACATTGTGGGCTTTGTCGCTGCAGGGTAGGTCTGCCAAACCGGAACAGAGCCGAACTGGAACAGAGCTGATGTTCTGCAGAACTGGTGAGTAAAATTTTACAGTACTGTACAGTTCATATACGTATGTTGCTAAAATTAGGTTTAAGAGTTTAGAACACTGCAAGACAGTGTGGGAAGGATTTAAAAAGCCTTAAATATTTGTAAATACTAAAATAAATATAGCGTTCCTACTTTGCGGCTTTTCACTTTTTGCGGGGGTCCGGAGAGTAACCCCCACGATAAACGAGGGACTACTGTATTGTACTATATTATTTTTCTGTACACATCACAATTCCTTATGGCAGTTCCTAATATGCAATATTGATGTGCATCACCTTCGTCTGCGCACTCTAACCAGCAGTTTATAGCTAAATGTGAATGTGTTAGCTGCTGCAAAGAAGGTAGCAAGCCATATTTACATTTTTAATAATTTTCTTATTAAAATAAACTCTTTGTGCAAAAAAAGATGAAAGTTTACCTGTGCTGTTGGGAGTTGGGGTCTGCAGACTTCCCATCACTGTGACCACGGGACCTACTGGTAACGTGGAAGGTCGTTGGTCTGATTTACAAACCTGAGAAGCATCTTTTGCAAAAAGAAAAGCAGTCGAGTTAGCACATAAGACTGGAAAGGAAGTCAGATAACACTAAAACCAGCAATTCCTCCCATGTGCCAACAAGTTGGAGAAAATGATCGGACGAACTAAAGAATCAGTTGGTTTTTTGCGTTTTTTAAGAGGCCAACATTAGAACAACCTACTTTGCAGCGTTTATTTTCACAGCATGTTTCATAGCATGACAGCTGAGTCATAGTCATCTGACCCAAACCACCAAAATACCCATCACATACTTTCAGAGAAAATTTTGCGATAAAAAGGAACATTACACCAATACATCAAACAAAAAAAAATTGCAATTAAGTTTCCAAACTTTGTCAGTGTTTGTTAACAAAAACATACCAACTTTTTTTTACAAGCCTCCAAACATTTATTAAAACTATATTCATTATTTTTTTATTGTTTCAGGCTGTATAATACTATCCATCCATCCATCCATTTTCTTTACCCGCTTATGCCATTTTGGGTCACGGGGGTCGCTGGTGCCCATGTCCAGCAATCACTGTGCGAGGGGCGGGGTACACCCTGGACGGGTCGCAAGTCCATCACAGGGACACATAGAGACAAACGAGACAAACAACCATTCACTCTCTCACTCACACCTAGGGACAATTTAGAGTTACCAATCAGCCTAACATGCATGTTTTTTGGACTGTGGGAGGAAACCGGAGTACCCGGAGAAAACCCACGCATGCACGGAGAGAACATGCAAACTCCACCCAGAAAGGACCCTGGACCGGGGTTTGAACCAGGGACCTGCTCGCTGAGAGGCAGCAGCTCTACCAGTTGCGCCACCGTGCTGCCCCTGTATAATACTAAATTTTCTAAATTTACCACGGTGTTAAAAGGACAATAATTTGTTTGTGCAGATTAAATATATATTTTTAAAATCTCTTCTTTGCAACATTTCCTGTGTGGTGGATCGGACAACAGGGGGGCGCTGTCATCACCTTTAAGTAGAGTACACTACAAACAGCAGCTCTGGAAGATGCTCTGTGAATGACGCAGCGGTACCTGTGGGTAGTGTGGTCTGTGTTGGCATTGTGGTGTTGACTACAGGGGTCTCCAGGGGGGGCTGGTAGATCCCATCCACTGGGTTGATGGTGCTCTGGAGAAAGAACAAGATAAAGAAAGAGAGAAACCATCAACAACAAAAACATCCGTCTGATTAAAAGACGTGCTCGAGCATTTATTCCATATTTAGCTCCTTTGAACATCTCTATAGAATAAAAACAGACATTTTAAAATATTTTCCAAGAGTCGGTCATGACCGGGCAAAAGACTGAGCTGCCTATAGATCAGACTATTGATAACAAGAAGGGACGACTGAAACGCCAAGTCTAGTCCAGACAGATCGATTTCCTTTCACTCCGAGTCCTGTAAAGAACAACACTTTTACCTGATATGTAATCAACATGAAACTTTAAACACCACAAGTAACAAAAGCGAACAGCTCTTATTTCTGAGCTACCGTCCAATTTAAATGCACGTAATTCACTCCTCTGAACTGCAAATTTTTACATTATTTATTTATTTATTTATTTTAATCAGCAAGAAAAAAAAAAAGATTTCTAATAATTCACCTTTACATCATGTCCAGGCAATTAAACACAAACGCACAAACTCGACAAGTAAACCGTTGACAAGGTCATTGGTATAAAACCCCAGCTGACACAAACGTAGACAAAAAGCACTGAAACACGATCAGATCAACCCTCTTTCTCATGTCACTGTCGCTCAGGGCTCTTGGCAACACTGACATGAAATTTAGTCATTATGTTGTAATATTCCTTTATTATTATATCAACTATGACAGCTTTATTTTCTATGACATTTGGAAATGATGTGAGATTACCAGGAACAAGCAGGATGAGTCAGAGGTATGACTTTCTTATAAAAGAGGAAGAAAACTGCAAAATGATGCAGTTATCTAGAAAAAAAAAAAAAAAAAGAGAACAAATCACACTGAGTTTTTAAAAAGTAAAGACCAGACAAAAATCTCTATTTACATTGATCAGAGGTCGACACTACACACATTCATGTTCTGGTTTTTGCCCCCTCACTTGGGCTTTCGCTCTGCAGAACTTGCCGCATGCTGTGTCCACGCTACTTCAAAAAAACTAAGTCACTGGTTACTAATTATAGCCAGTTGCAGACATACTGGTCTGTCATGGTGGGGTCAGTCAATCTTTGGCCTTGCAAGTGGGAGATGAACCAGAAGCAGACAGGAGAAGGGCAGCGGGGCATCAAGAACAGTTGCATCTAAAAGGTTGTTAAAACTACGCTAGGATTGATTTTTTTATGTAAACAACTTCGATGTTAATGCAGCAGGAAGTTCACACAGCACGGCAATTCTTTATTTGTTTATATCTCAAATATGACAAATACTGATCAGCCTAGTTGTCTTTAGTTTAAATGATTTGTTCACTTTGCAATAACTTCCCATGAGCTCGAAAGCTCCAGTTTCCTCCCACAGACCAAAAACATGCATGCTAGGATGACTGGCAACTCTAAACTGTCCTTAGGTGTGAGTGAGAGAGTGAATGGTTGTTTGTGTCGTTTGTATCCGTGTGTCCCTGCGACGGACTTAGACCTGTCCAGGGTGTCCCCTGCCTCCCACACAGTGATGGCTGGACATGTGCACCAGTGATCCCCGTGAGACAAAAAGGAAAAAGCATGTAAAGATAATGGATGGATGGAAAGCTTTTGAAAAATAAAACTTGCCGTTATAAGAGTGGACAGAGCTTATACTGTGCTATTTATACTACCTAACACTGTACTTAATGACTGTGGGATTATTTCAGCAATAAGAACAGACTTACTAGATGAGTGGTCGGGCCTCTGTGGGATTCATGCGTCAGGAACTAGACTGGAGATTTTTCTATGTACTAAAATTCTAACATTTTCCAAAGCCTACAGAATGCTTTTAGATTGATCATCAGCTTCAAGGGAAGTTCCTGATTGTTGTATGATGATGCAAAGACGATGTACTTCAGCTTTCTTAAATATATAAATCAATCACAACCAATTAAAAATAGCAAAGTTTCTTATTCTAACTATACAGAAGCATAAAGAACTGCCAGACAATATGGAAAATTCCCATATTGCAGTTTCTCAATAAGCATCTAGAAGCATTTTATTTACAAGCTGTGATGTCTGGAAGACAAACCTGAATGATGAGCAACATGGGGAAAAGTTTTAGTACACAGAGAATTTTCTTTTACCGTATTTTCTTAAATATAAGGTGCACATAAAACCTTTTATTTTTCTTAAAAATCAAGTGAGCCTTATAATCAGATGCACCTTATGTAACAATTCTGGTTGTGCTTACTGACCTTGAACTGATTTTATGTGGTTATTGTGAATGAGTTGAATAAAGTTTGACTTATCTGACTGTTTTGATTCGCTTAATGCGCTTTATAATCCGGTGCACCTTATGTATGAAAACAGAGCAGTTCATTGATATTGCACCTTATAATCTGGTGCGCCATATAGTCCAAAAAATATGGTACTTTATATTTGATGGTTTAGGAGTCCACTCTCAATTCTCACCATGCAATAGTGTTTGTTTCTAACAATATTCTGAATGAAAGGGAGAATCAAAAAGTGAATTTTGGAGAATTAAATAAGCTAAAATCTTACACTGAATGTTTTGGAAAATGTAAGACATGCTGTTAGATGAACACGTCACATTTAAAGCATGTATACCTCCTGGTACAGCCTTCAACATAAACACAGAGCCTGTAAAATGCTGTCTGGATGGCTTTCCTGCTATTAGAGCTCAGCAGTTCAATAAGCAGGCAGTGTGAGCAGGAGAAATCAATGATGGACTAGTTAACTTTAAATTGTGTGTAAAGTGACAGGCAATCGAACACATCACATGTACTCATAATACAAAAGATTCAGTTTCTTGTAGCATGCATGAACAGTTTGTGCTTTAATGAAGGAAAGGATAGTTCCCAACCACTGCTGAACCGAACTGAAATCCCAGATTAAAACAGGGCTGTGATGTTTTAATCAAGAAGACAGAAGCTGCAGAAATGAGGGACAGAGCTCGTCTTTGAATTAAAAGGCATGCTCTAAAAATCCGATTCATCAGCGCTTCGAAAGGAGAGGGTAAATGATGCCAGAAGAGAAAGTTAGAAGTTTCTTTAATTAGATTTTTTTTTTTTTAGTCATGGACAGAGAGTGTTTGAACTTACTATAAGTCCGTTTGCGTGTTGTTGTTCGTTACTTTGGTCCTTAAAATTTTAAGAAGACAGCGTTAGTCTGCTTTGGGTAGAGAAGTTCAAGTCATTTCAAAAGGCATCCATTGGTGGTGAGATCCATCTTGTTTCCTTTATACCGAGTTTCTTTAATTTGCCACCAGCAGTGATCATTTCATCACAGTAAGGTCCACAATTCTTATGAATATAAAAAGGTACAATTGCTCAGTCATGGCAATCTGTACAGTTTTCTAAATCTCCCCCAATCTTTTTGTTTGTGAGTGTTCACAGTTTAAGAAGCAAAGTCACACCTAACGACAACATGAATGATTGCTTCACTTCCTTTCAGAAAACTGAACGCACATGTGATGAAACGAACACTGGGCTACACCCGCCTCATTCACTGAGCCTGATAGCAACTGTAAGCCGGGAACTACCCCCCAAACCCCAAAGTTACACACAGCGTACATGTAGCATCTCAGAAAACATGATCTTGATCAAATGATACATGAAAATCACAAAGAAGGAATGAAACATGCAGGGATTGTGTTTACCTTGGCGATCTGCAGCAGAACAATACAATGTTTGATGGACTCTACCATACTCTGAAGAAGAAGAAAAGGAAGAAAACAGAAATCTGTTAACGTTCCAAACAACAGCACACGAAACGTGTAAAGGTCCATACTTACACACGTAGTCTCTTTCAAATTTTCTACTTTCTGTAAAAAAAAAAGAAAAAAGAAAAAGAAATAAATAACGACAAGTTGACTGTGAATATTATAATGAAGAACAGTTTAATGACATCAATATAACTAATGGAGGTCTCTCTATTATTCACTTTAACAGTAGAAGTTTAAATGCAAATATATCCAAAATAACAGATTATTTAAAACAGCTAAACAGAACCTTTACAATAATAGCACTGTCGGAGACATGGCTCAACGATGAAAACACAACTAATGTTCACATGGAAGGGTATGAATTATATCATGTGAACAGAAGCAACAAAAGAGGTGGTGGAGTGGCTCTATTCGTTAAAAATGAAATAAAATGTAAATTAATTAATGAAATGTCAATAGTTGTTGATAATATCATGGAAATAATAACAATAGAAATAATAAACAAGAATGATAAAAACATATTGATAAGTTGTGTATATCGATCTCCAGGATCAAATATAGAAATATTCACTGATAAAATGGTACAACTATTGGACAAGAGTTTTAATAAAAACATTTTTTTGTGTGGAGACTTTAATATTGACCTGGGAAATAAAACAGATTCAAATAACATCAGTACATTTACAAATTCATTGTATAGTTTAAATCTTTATCCGTTAATATCAAAACCAACAAGAATTACAACTCATAGCGCTACAATAATCGATAATATTTTCACAAATGTAACAAATGGGGATGTGATGGGAGGTATTTTAATGAGTGATTTGAGTGATCACTTACCAGTTTTCATGATTTATAAAAATGATCAAAGCATTACAAAAGAAATTACAATTAAGGAAAAAACAATAAACACATCAAAAAAAGCAATGGACAAATTAAAAGATGATTTACATAAACAAAGCTGGAAAGACGTGTATGTTGATGATGTGAACAGATCATATGATGAGTTTATGAATATTTTAGGAGCTCTGTATGAAAAGAATTGTGTGCAAAATAATTGTACAAAGAGAAATGTTGTTAACCAACCATGGATGACGAAAGGGTTGAGAAATGCTTGTAAAAAAAATAATTATTTGTATACATGTTTCTTGAAATTGAGAACACAAGAGGCTGAAGAGAAATATAAGAAGTATAAAAATAAATTAGTAGCGATTATAAGGAAACACAAGAAGGAATATTATAGTGATTTATTAAATAAAAGCAATGGTGATATGAAAGCAACATGGCAAGTAATAAATAGTGTTCTGAAAAGTCATAAAGCAAAAACAGGTATTTCACAATATTTTTTGAAGGATGACAATGAAATCCATGATGAAAATGAAATTGTAAATGGATTCAATCGTCATTTTGTGAACGTTGGATCAAGCCTTGCTGCTAAAATACCAAAAGTAGACAATAATGTGAACCATTCAGTTATAAGTTGTGACAACAGTATTTTTCTTAATGGAACTGACAAAGAAGAAATAATGAATGTTGTAAAGAATCTTACAGATAAGAGATCAAAAGACTGGGTGGACATGGATATGATGTTTGTAAAGGACATAATGAGTTATGTTATCGAGCCGTTTACATATATTTGTAATTTATCATTTTCAAAAGGAATATTTCCAGACAATATGAAAGTAGCTAAGGTAGTTCCTCTCTTTAAAAATGGTGATAAATGTGTGTTCAATAATTATAGACCAATATCCTTATTACCACAATTCTCAAAAATTCTAGAAAAACTGTTTGTGACCAGATTAGATAAATTTATTACTAAACAAAACATTCTAAGTAACAGTCAGTATGGGTTTAGAGCAAAAAACTCTACATCAATGGCTCTCATGGAAATAATAGAACAAATAACTACTGCTGTCGATCAAAAACAGTATTGTGTTAGTATTTTTGTTGATTTAAAAAAAGCATTTGATACTATTGACCACACTATTCTCCTTGAAAAATTAAATAAATATGGTATAAGAGGACCAGCATTACACTGGGTATCTAGCTATTTAAAAGATAGGAAACAGTTTGTACAAATAAATGGTGTAAGATCTGACTTGTGCAATATCACTTGTGGAGTTCCTCAAGGCTCTGTACTTGGACCAAAGTTATTTATTTTATATGTGAATGACTTAGTGAATGTATCAGGACTCCTCAAATGTGTCCTTTTTGCAGATGACACCACATTTTTTTGTTTGGGTAAAGATGTAAAACGGATGTTGGAACTGATGAAGACAGAATTTGATAAAATACAAACTTGGTTTAAAATTAATAAATTATCATTAAATTTAGATAAAACTAAATACATGATATTTAGTAACAAAAAGAAAACTGTTGACGATCCATTTAAAATTGAGGGTGTTGAGATTTGTAGAGTTAATGAGATGAAATTTTTGGGTGTAATCATTGATGAACAGCTCACATGGAAAAATCACATAAATTCTGTAAGAACAAAAATATCTAAATCTATTGCAGTACTATACAAAGTCAGGGAATTATTAAATGATAAAGCTCTGTACATGTTGTATAACACAATCATTGTTCCACATTTAATCTATTGCATTGATGTTTGGGGGAAAGCGTGTAAAACATTTACAAAACCTATTTTTATCTTACAGAAAAGAGCTGTAAGAATTATCTCCAGAAAGCATTACTGTCACCCATCAAGCACATTATTTTATCAACTGAAGTTACTGAAGTTTCATGATTTGGTAGATTATAGTATTTTATCAGTTATGTATAGGGCTCAAAATAACACATTACCATTAAATATCCAAAGAAATTTTGTTAAAAGACAAAGTTGTTACAATCTTAAGGGGATAGAAATATTTGTCAAACCAAAATTCAGAACTAGTCTGAAGGGAAGGTCTACCTCAATCCAAGGAGTTGGATTGTGGAATGGTCTAGAGAATGATGTAAAAAATGTCAAGTCAATGTGTACATTTAAGAAAAAGATCAAAGCTGAATTGTTAAAAAAGTATATATGAAGTAGCTTAGTGTGTGTTTTTTATTAGAATTAGAAAAATTAGAAAGTTATTCATTTTGTTCTATTACTTGAAAATTAATATGTCTGAAATAATTGTTTGAAAAAAGGGGCAGATATAATAAGATTTTTTCTTCTTTCTGCTGCCTTTCATTTTAAACTTTTTTGTATCTTTTTATATATTGTTATGGAATTGTTTTGTACTTTTTTAAAAATGAATAAACTTCATACCATACCATACCATACCATACCAAAAATGGGAAAAATAATACATTTCTGAAGCTGGAGTTTTGATGAAATCAACAGAAAATGTCAAAATAAAGAGTTTCAGCATTTGGAAATCAACAAGCACATTTCTCACGGTAAGTTTTAACACACAGTAGGAAGTTTTCAGAGACCACTGATGGTAAACAACACACACACACACACACACACACAGCCACTGAAACACCTTGAAACTGAGCTGCTTCCTCTAACAAAACCAAAACTGTTACACAGATATAATTTATAAAAAGCCCAGAAAAGATTAAAAAAAAAATCTCCCAAGTTTACTGTGTACTCACAATGATTCATACGTGGCATCATTTATTTAAATAATTAAGTTTTTAATGTGTCCTAAAAAGTGGATCCACTAAATGTCAAAACTGAAACTGACTGGTGGCAAAATTATGCTGCATCATAAATTATTATTTTTCTACAAGTCAGAAATAAAACTCAAAACATCACTAATAACAAAAGTGAGGAAAAATAAGAAGACTTTTTTTAAGGCAATAAATGATTGAGCAATAAAACAGTCAAGACCTAATTCACATGCAAATATTGGTTAATAACACTTTATTTGTCCTTTTTTGCACATTTTATTAGTAGAATTATCACCTCTCTCTTATGTGCTGTGAACAAATAATCTAAAAGCTAAAAATATGTCAATAAATACTCATCAGGAACACCAAGTCTTAAATATTAGATGTTAAGCTCATTTTAACAGCTGATTCCATTAAACTAAAACTATTGACAGCAAATGGTTCCTAAAAACAGAAAGAAAGGTCACGAGCTGACACTTATTAGTGTCCGCCTGTTTTCATACAGGCCAGTGGAAATATCCGACCACGTAGCAACTAATTAATTCCGTCACACATTTAAAGGATCATTTTGACAGCCTCGAGACATTTTTAAATCTTAATGTCTAAAAACAGATTCTGTAAGACTGAAAACATGTTAATGGGCGGCCCTGGTGCAAACAGAAACATAAAATAAAACCCAAGCTTCAAACCTGACCCTCACATAAAATAAAACTACTCATCATGTGTCTGTAACTTTGCCTCAAACTATCAGGTCAAGGGATACCCTGCATACATTACATTTTGAGTCAAACTCTGAACAATATTTGTTGTGACAGGATGCAAAGATTTCAGTGTTAACAGGAAGAAATATGTATTTTTGTTATTGTAGATGACTGCGGTGATGCCTACCAGCCAACAACAGACATCCACACCAGATTGACCGCAAACAATTTTAATTTGCCTGTTTCCTCTAATAACAACGAGAACAGGCAACCGCAGATCTGAGGCACACGGAGAGCACTGCACGCCTGGTACTCACTCTGCGCGATTCATCCTCTTTACAGTCCTTGATCTTCTCATCAAACAGCTGTTTTGGGACAAGACATGGAAGGGAGAAAAACAGAGGGAGTCAGATGGGTCAGGAGGAAAACCTGTAGCCTACAGGTGATTTAGTTTGAGGTAATGTGGGTGTAAGCAGTAGTTATTCAGATTTAAAATAAAACTTAAAGGCTAAATGCAGCAGCATCGTTGTTGCTTTGTCATTGTGTGATCACAACTGAAAATATATCTTCTTTGTAAAAATAAAAAATAAATCCAAACTAGCAGGAACACACAAAAATATGCAGAATTTTATGGAACAGATTTACTGAAGAGAAAGTGTCATGATGAACACACACGGTGTGAATGAATGATTTTAAAAGTGATGGGAAATTTAAGAAACCTTTACTCGGGTTGATATATAGTGATCGGTACATAGCCGTTATGTTTCCACCACACTGGTTAAAATACACACCTTTAACTGATCAATCAGTATCTGCAGGTAGGCGTCAGCTTCAGACAGTTTCTTGTCAAAGTCTTGAACACTCGGAACAAATCCCGTCTCTGCCTCCTGCAAACAGGAAAACAAACAGAGCTGAGTACCATCCTAGTAAAAGCCCTGCCAGTGTTTGCATATTCAAAGTGAATTACAAAACCACGGTCGCTAACTGAGCATTTACACAACATCCATTTATTAAATATTAGACCGACTCCATCACCTGACCAGATAAGCTTTGTAAAGTGTTGCACAAAACGGTGGACAGAAACATCAACATTTCAGGAGAATCTTCCAGCAGTGCACTGTTCTGGGTTAAACAGAATATGAATAGTATTGTTTACATGAAAAGCAAGCATGTCTGTCAGCTGGACAGGAGGCCAGCAGAGTCCAGACTTCAACCAAACCAGGAAACTCGGGAGCAGGAGAGCCACAGACAACATGAACAGACTGAGGCGCACGCACATTTATTGCTTGTTCATTAGTTTTCCATAACAGACTCCAGATCCCACACATTCACACACTTGACATTTCATTACATAAGGTCCATTAAAAGGTGATCACTGGACAACCAGCAGAACCAAGAATCACAGTCCATCTGACTGAGCTCACCAAAGGACCCAGAACCAACAAGCCGACTGAGAAACGAAGCCACAAGCAGGAAAAAGGAACATACAGTCTAGACTTCACCTGAGTCCATCAAAAGCAAGCAGTCAGCACCAAAGATAACACAATAACCCCTATACATCATAGAATTCAGTACATGACTAATGCAGGATGTGTCAAAGCAGTTTACTGCAGCAACGCATGGAAAAACACAAAACTCCTCCATATACGGCCGTTAGTGTAAGAAGAAGTCAAACTAAATCCTTATCTTGGTAGCAAATTGAGTTCTTATCAAACCGTGAGTGCAGCTACCAGCACCTTGGATTTGCTGCGTCGCACACTCCTGGTGTCTTTCCCTCCTTCTGTTGACAACTTCATTGGGAAGTGAAGAAAAGCCATTAACTCGAAGCGAAACATTTATAGCTGCTCTGGTCAGAGGCCTGTTTTAAGTTTAAAAACGTAAAGCTCTACAGAGAGCAAAGTCTGTTACTCAGCAGACATGAAGCATGCAGTTAAAGGGGCAAACTTCCTTAAGGGGTCAAAGGTGCACACGTTGTTAGTCCAGTGTGACTTTAAGGAAAAAAATAGATTCTGAGATACAGATTTAAATATTGGACTGACATCGCAAACAACCCATACTGTGAGTCACAAATCTGGTGAAGCCCTCAGTTGTTCAGAAGAGGTGCTGTCCAGGGAGGACTCTTTTTAATGGAGGCAAACAGCACAACACAAAAAACATCCTTAGACTAATATATAAACAGAGATGCTGGAAGTGGAAAAAAAAAAGATGTGCAAAAAATCTCACCAAATATTCAGAACAAGAAATCTTAAATCAAAGCGTGTTCCCAAACAGTTTATCATATATCAGAAATAAGTCGGCATGTTTTACAGGCAGTAAAAGTCTAAATCAGACAGATCCATTTTTATAACAGGGGGGAGAGAATGTCTTGTTGTGTCAACACAAGTAACGGAGTTTTACACAGTGCATAAGTTTGGAAACGGAAAGTCAGATGGGTGGATGGTGTATAAACAGCCACACCGCTTCTTCACCGTTCCAGAAATATTCCCAGACGTCTGCGTCTCTGCTGATCGTCCCAACCAGACTGACACGCAGAGCGAATCTTTCACAGCAGCTTAGAGACGTACACATATGAACTCAATCATTGATGGCTCTACAAACACTGCCCCTGTGAGCCCCCACCCCTCCCCTCCTCTATGCATTTGTCTTTCCACATGGTGTGACCCAATTTAAAAACGCTGTTGCCCCAGCGAAGCACTGCAGCCGTTAAACTTGTGTGGCGTTTTTCTTTGTGTGTGCGTGTTACTTACAGGGCACCTCGCTCCAACGAACATGCTGCGTCAAAGCTTGAAGCATCTCTCAGGCCATTTTGCCTGACACAAGCTTCCTTTTCTCTTCTTCTCTTGCCTGCGTTATTCGATCTATTCCCTCCCCACAGCACTAAACTACCAGCTCTGGTGAAGATGGCAATATTTCTTCCTTCCTCCACATGAAAACGGGGAGAAAAATAAAATCCCTCCTCCTTTGACTCTCCAACGCAGTGTGCCAAAATAAACCACAGCAGCCTTCAGCTGGCTTCAATAGCAGTTTATCAGCTGACCGTTTGGTGAGGCAGACAAGTCGAGTTAATCCAGGACCCTCCCCTGGCAGGAAGGGCACGCTTCCTCTCACACAGGCAGAAAAAAAACGCACACAGCAGACACACAGTAAAAGCTTCCCTGATTGGCCGAGGCAGCAGCAGCAGATGTTTTGCTGCTGAAGCAACCACGTTCAAGGTTGGTCATCTCTGGTCACGTGCTCCTACGAAAGCAGCTCAGGTTTGTGTGCATGCGTGTGCATACTCGCTACACAAGCATACACACGTACTAGATGAGAGAGGTTTGCCACAAAGGGAGGGGGAGCAGAAAAATACGAAGGCAAGAGAGAGGGCAAATGACAAGGTTGATTATGGGGATGAAAAGGAAAACGAGCAGACAGACGGGAGCGTTTATAGATGATGGAGGGGGAGAAGAGTCAGGAGGTGTGCTTTAGGAGAAACAAACAGGGCTTACAGTAAGGTCAGGATGAAAAATAGGAGAAGCAAAAATAAAGAGCATTGGCTGAGACACTCAGTCTAAACACACTTAAGAATCAGAGACAAACACCAGCGGGATTAAAAAAAACTGACACCAGGTTGGTTATGAAACAAAAGAAAAAAAAAAAAAGAAAAATAGCTTTAATATTTAACACATATTGTTTTAACTGTATCCTTCATAATAGCAGAACTGTCACCTTTAAATAAAACTAACTCATTAAAACTTCATGTGCAATGCTATGACAAAAAAACAAACAAAAAAAACACATTCACATGTTTTTAAAAAAATATACTTTGAGTGATTTCCCTGTCAGTGCTGTGCAAGTTTGAACTTCATAAGAACAACCACAGGGGCAGCTGTGGCTGAGTGGTTAGAATGGTCGTACTCCAATGGGAGAGTTGTGGGTTTGATTCCACCAGCAGTAACATGTTGAAGTGCCCCTGGGTAAGACAATGAACCACTCATTGCCTCTGATGTGTGTCCCATTGGTGTATGAATGTGACCTAAAGCACTGATTAGTCTTTGTAGAATGGTTTGTTCAGATCATCTTTGTAGATATGTAGTAGAATGATGTATGAATGTGTGTGGAGGTAAATGAGGGCACAGATTGTGTTGTAAAGCACTTTTGAGTATCTTGATTAGATGGAAAGGTGCTATACAAGTACAGTTCATTTACCACCAAGTTCAGATTATGTTCATAGTCCAAACTCCCTAAATTATTTTTGCTCACCTTTTCCTTTTTAATCAACTACAGTAGGCCCTCGCTACTTCGCGGTTCGACTTTCGCGGATTCGCTCTTTCGCGGTTTTCAGTGATTGTCAACTTTAATGTTACTTATGTGATTGGGACGGTACGGGATAAAAAGTTGACAATATCTTAATTCTTCGGACCGGCGCCGCCATTTTGTAGTTTTATTTCAATAGGCCTATAGTATAACGCACATCATAAGAACTACACTACCCAGAAGCCAACAGTGCTTCCAGCCTGGACAGGGCAGTGGGCTTTGTTGCTGCAGGGTTGGTCTGCAGAACCTCGGAACAGAGCTGCCGTTATGTAGAACTAGTGAGTAAAATTTTACATTACTGTACAGTACATATACATATGTTGTTAAAATAGCGTAGGTTTAAAAGTATAGAAGACTGCACAAGTGTGGGAGGGGTTTATAAAGCCTTAAAATATATATAAATACTAAAATAAATATAACATTTCTACTTTGTGTTTTTTCACCTGTGTGTGTGGAACGTAACCCCCGCGATAATCGCGACTACTGTATAACTAATTAAGGTAATATATTTAAACTGCAACTTAATGACACTGTACTCTACTTAACATTAAGTAAACCTCTATGCCATATTTGCACACCTAACATTAGATTGTTTCTCGTCTACTCGAAGAAAATACATTTAAATCCTGACACAGCCAAAGGACCAAACTCTGCTCTCATTCAGACATTTTTCTGTTTCTACTGTACAGGAGAAGGAAACTGAACAGTGTAAATAACACAATTTTCAGCTACAAAGTAAACATTAACAAACAAATACACTTCTCTTATACATTAGATTTCAGATGCATCCACACATATACAAACGAGGAAGGCTACGAACCTGGATTTGGAGGGTGTGACGGAGGATGGTTCCCTCTAAGGCGTGGATCCACTTCTCGCGTTCATCTGCATCTCGAGCTGATGACAGAAGAGTGTGCACACACACACACACACACGCACAGAATGAGCCAGGTTTTCCATAAGGAAAAATTCTGAAACTATAGTTGAATTACACATCAAGACAACACTGAGATGACATGAGAGAACTAATGGCAAAGTGATGGAAACTGCAGAAAAACTAAATATTGTTATTTTTTATGACGAGAGAACACAAGAGACATTTTGTACTTTCTATTCCTCACTGATGCAGGGTCAATCACACATTATCCTGCATGAGTTCAAGCTAAAACAGATCAAAGTGTAAACTACTGCAGGTCAGCCTTACTCTATGTTTTTCAGTAATAAAAATAAAGTTTTCATTTGAGAGATGCAACATATTTTCAGTCTTCACAGATGAAGGTGTGCTGATCTCCATGTCGTGTGTTTCCATATGAAGATTTTTCATTCACAATGCAGTTTCGCCCTCTGAGCAAAGAACAAAGAGGCTGCCAGCTACTTTAAACTGTGCTCAAGCTCGGGCTCCAGGACATGCAAGCCACACACAAACTCCACGTGGCTCCTGCATGCTTTTGTGTGTCATGGCGTAAAATAAACATCCTCAAGAGGCTTGCCTTAGCTGCAACAAAAATGTGCTTTTACGTTATTTTGTTCATGAACAAAAATCAGCTTTTGTTCTGCGTTTTCCATGAAAGTGGTCAACCTCAAATTATAAAAAACAAACCGTTTTAAAAGCCATGAGGGAAACTTGCATGCCCTTAAACTGGCTTGCAAACCATGCTCTGTGTCAGTCACTATTTTATTGAGCTGAAAGCAAGACTTCAGCAGATGAATGACTGTGCAAGCACGGAGGCTGAGCCATGCTACAGCAGAAAAGCTTTTAAAGACATTAAAAGGCAGCTGAGGCTCAGGCCAATCCACTCAGACAGTGCCTCAGTGGCCTCTCACTTTCCCACTTCAACCAAACACACTCGTCAGAGGAGCTGATTACGGCAGCCAACATTGTTTAGCTGCTATTCATGGCAAAAATGAGCTAGCACACTACATGTTTAAAATAAAAACTGGTACTGTAGTGTAATTATCCTGATTCATGCTCAATAATCCAGGTAGAAAAATGCAACAAAGTTAAGTCAGGACCTCTGGATGGTTTCTTTTTGTTGGAACATTTTATCTTTCATTCAAAAGACTTCATCAGTCTGAGGAGCTGCAACAAATTGAGTCTTATAAATATAACTTTCTCATAGTGGGTCAACCAGTTTGATGGTGCTTAGGTGGTTTCTATAGTTTGGTCAACTTCGATGGATTTTTCTACCTGGATTACTGAGCATGAATCAGAATATTTTGAACCACTTTGGCTAAGGATGCACGATATTACTGGCATGGTATCGGCCAATACTAGCGTTAAAGTTAAATATTAGACATCGACCATTCCATCAAAATAACTCACTGATAAAAGGTGCTGTTTTTGTATGACATGGATGCCTGCAGCGCCAGCACAACGTGATGACATCACACGCGCCTACCTGATCTGATCACGGCGGAGAGGAAGAAGTCAAAATGTCAAGTGGTGTGGAAGGGTTTTTTTTTTCCGTTGAGGATGTCGGATTCCAAAGATTTCTGGACTATGTTAAGCCTCGTTACATCGTCCCCAGTCAGAGATATTTTTCTGACGTAGCCTTACCCGAGTTACAAGCCGTCATTTCCAACATCATTGAGAAGCTAATAGCTGATAGCACTTGGGTGAGTTTTACCACAGACATTTGGAAGTCGTGTTAGCCCCGTTAGCATGATTAGTCTTACGGCACAATGGATAGACAAAAACTTTGAACTTAAAAAGGCTGTCCTTCATGCACAAGAGTGCAGAGGATCCCACACTGCAGCTAGGAACCTGGAACAAGCCTCCACAAGTGAGACAGCATCGCAGGTGACTAATGCCAATAAATAATATTTAACACTATTAATTTAACATAAGTTAAAGTGCTATGCATATCATATGGCTAATACTGAATATATGTCACCAGCTCTTACAGCTGTTACATAATTTTTGTAGCAAATAAGCCTAAATAAGACGGCTATGTTCTGACAAAGGAAAGTATATGAAATATTGGTATCGATATCGGTTATCAGCCAAATAAGTTTTAACATATCAGCATATCGGCCAAAAATCCCAATATCGTGCATCCCTAACTTTGGGCTTGACTGCCTTAAACAAATCAGCTGGAGTGAGGGCAAACTCCAGAAACCACCTAAGTACCAGCAAACTGGTTGACCCACAATGATAAGGTGCTATTTATAACAAGTCTGAGTTTGTTGCAGATCCTCGGACTGATGAAGTCTTTTGGATGAAAGAAAAAACGTTTCAACAAAAAGAAACCGTCCAGAGGACCCGATTTAACTTTGTTGGTACTGTAGTTGTTTAAGTTTTGTACTCGTTTCTGGCTCACATTCTTTTAATAATTTACTTTCAAGTGTGTGCATTAAGTTAATTGTTTTTGGCAGCTAAACATGAGGTGGTCTGCCAGGTTACATATTAAAACAAGTTTATGTCATTTAAACATTTACTTCTCTCAAAACATTCAAGAGAAGGAGGGAAAACCATATACTTGCAAATGTGACCAAAACATCTACTAGGTATTCACTGTTAAAAGTTCCTGCATCTAAAGATAGTCAGACCTATAATCATGTGGTACCAGACTGGAAATAAGTCAGGACCCAGTGATTTTCCCCCCTCAAAGATGATTTGGAGAACATCCTCTATTAAAAACAAAAGAATTAAGAGATCCTTAAAATGCATAACAAGGCTTGGTACGAGCCGCATTATGAAATTTAACAGAGGAACAACAAGAAGACAAGTCTAAAAGTCACCGAGGTCAAGGTTTTACTTCTGTAACTGTTAACATCTATCAACGACTCACTTGTTTCAGAACAGAACTGGGCTGTAAAGGCCGTTTCTCACTGAGCTGTTGGAGACTAGTCGGTGACCAACTAGAAAACGTGCAACTTGTTTGCTACTAATTAAACAGCGAGCCATGTGGTCGAGTTTCGTGTAGAC